TCCACCTACTTCTTAGACCAACAAGGGCACTGTATAAACAAAGGGATTATATTATCAACTGCACAATATCAATGTTGCTCTGTCTATTTAAAACATTGAATTGGTTCGTTCAATTGGAATTTCAAATACTGGTTTTGTCAAGGAAATAATGTATGTATACTTACCAAATGCTTTTGATAAACTGTGAAAGTTCAACTCTTCTTGCCTCACTGATAACTTGTTCTATTTGACCTTCCATAGGATCAAGGTAGTATACCATCTCTTTTTGTTTGTTGATTACCTTTAAAAGTGAAAATATTGAAAATGATAAAAATTTGTTGCCTTGTTTTAGCTATATTGCAACCATATTGTATTTACCAAAAGTGTCCAATGGCTCCCAGACATATTGAGAGAAAATATTATTTTGACAATTGCCATGAAATTTTGATCTGCCCACAGTCGACAAGTACTAGATCCTCGTTGCACCAACTGACATACATATGATTCTGCTAGTAGGACTCCAGGATATTCACATGAAAGTTTCCATAAAAAGCATTAATAACCTATAACAATCAGGCACATTTACCATTTCAACATTTGTCTCTGATGCATAATAATCATATGTAAGCTGTAGAGTGTTTAATCGCTTGACTTACTGTATCACTAAGGCATCCAGATGCCACAGTTTTATTTTCAATTAGTGTGGAGCAAATTTAGTGATCTCATTTGTTGGAATGAGGTTCCATTAATCCTGAAAAGTAACTTTGTTTCGTCGAAATTCTAGCATTTGATCTCCTAACTTAATTCCATTTAGAGAGGCCTTCAGTAAGCGATCCAGTGGATTTGCCTTGTGTTTAGCCTGAGACCTCAATACTACAGTTGCGATTTAGGAAAGAAAAATGGACTATGTGTAATGGCATAGTCCTCACTCATATTAAGTAATTAGATAAATACTACACTGAAATGCTACTACCCCCCTCTCATTTATATATGTTTGTACCTGCTTGAACTGCTTTTTTCGTTCTTCTGGTTTTGCAAATTTGTTGATACCTATTAGTATCTTAGAACACAATGTGTTCTAAGGTAGTTGTTTTGACATTGTGTTTTGATAAATACTCCTGACGAGATATAATGTAAAGAATTACAAACAACTTTTTCAAACGTTGTTTTATATCGAGTATGGCAAAAATGAGTGCGATTTAGAAGACATAAACCCACAATTTTGGTGATGTCCTTCGTATCGTATATCTAATGGCTGGTCAAAATTACTTTTGAAACAATACTTGAATAATATATTGGAAAGTAAGATAAGAAAAGGGATATTGCGTACTTTGTTGTTTTGTACGTTGCGTCCATGAGGCACAATTGTCCGCCATAACGAATCAACATTCATTGTTGCCAATGCTCTTGATGCACAAACAAAAACTTTTTATCCTCCTTTGGAGGAATATCGTTGCTTGAAGCGTTATCTCTTGTGCGGTAGAAGAACTTGCTGCGTGGAAAATTCTGTTTCCAGGTTTCTACTCTCCTGAGCAGGGACTCTTGATGGTCTTTGCAGTCCTTAAGAGACTCTATGGCTTTTGCTACGTGGTTTCGAATAACCTTTTTATTTGGATAGTACCGTTTATTTGTCTTGCGCGGTATAGCCTTTTGATTTTTTGATTTTTTTTTTTATTTAACAGCTTTATTGGCATTCTACTCAGTTACAATAATAAAGAAATAAATAAATAAATTTAACACGGTAGAGATGGCCAAAAGGGAGTAACGAACGGGACGTGAGTACCCATGCAAGGAAACTCCCCAAAGAAACTTTTGTCCGCCTTGTGGAAATAAAGTCTCTTCAACTTATTGATCAAGACACCTTTTGACTTCTAAGATTTTGGTTACATTGCGTTTTACCAAACTATAAACTTTCGTGACCAGTCGGTGATCCATTCGCTACCCCACTGTTGCCGTGGCAACAATGGCGTGACTTGAAGGAGCAGTATTAAGAAGTATTTTTAGGTAAAATCGACTGCTGGCGCGAAACTTTGAGGAGGAATCGTTGTCCATTTTTTCCTTAATCTCTCTAAATGTTTTCCGTTTTGTCCAAATAATTTTTAAATATCATAACGAAAAATGAATAGTTTTGTGCTCCCATGTAAACAATGTCTTGTTTCGTTGCTCACAATCAAAAACGGATTTTCAAAAAACTCAATTGGAATATTTCCCTTCTTGCTTTCAAACACTGGCGGTGCTAGAAAAAATAAATGATATGTTTTTTCAGCATTTTGTTTGTCTTCAAGTAAAACATTCTAATTATGCTAAGCTATGCAGATGTGTTAGACAATAAAATGTATTTAAAAAAGATAGCAAAATAATTGACTTTCATTGAATGGTTTTTCCCAAATGAGTTTTTAGCTAATATAGATAGAAATGACTGTTAGATTCGATTCTTCCAACCTTTATAATGGATGTGTTTGCGGCTATAAAATGTTAATTGGTCATGCAAAATTAAAGGAAGGGGGGGGGGGATGTAGCAGGCTTTGCCGCCCAATTCGTGCGTCGGTGGAAAATTTCTTGGTGTTTTCCCGCTTTAGTTTGGGGTAAAATGCGTGATGCGGTTGAGTTGATTACCTGTAACTGAAAACCGTTTATCGCCCTTGTTTTGAGTGGTTGTCAGCTTTCACAAACGAGATAGAATCAATTACCTAACTTCAAAAAGATCTTTCACTTTTCAAGTATATTAACGCGTGAAATCAATATATCAAGGTTTACGTATAACGGCGATTGAAAGTTAACTGCTCAACAATTACAAAAACCTTTTCAAGCCGACAATTTGAAGAAATCAATTATAAAACATACTTCAAAAACATGATCTTGTAAACTTAGAAATATTAGCTTCCTAATGACTTTGAAATAAAGTCAAAATATTGCTTTTAGTTTTGTTTCTTGCTATTATAACTAAAATTTTGAGTTTACACGATGATGTTTTAAGGAATATGTTACAAATTGTTTGCAGTATTGTGTAACAATTGAAAATAAACTACGAGACCTGAAACTGTTCCAGAAGTTCTTAAACTTGCTCCACCGTTCCATCAATGTATCATATGCAGTAATTTTTCAGAATTTGAACACCTGCGAGTTTTTCTCTAAGGAAGTTTTCTTGTTTGTTTGAGCATTCTGCAGATTCACGCTGAAGAATTGTCTGCGCCACATACCGACTATGAAACGCTAAATTTGTTCTTTAATATATTTTAGTTATTTTCAAATGTTCAATTATGAGTCAGAGTAAACACTCGAATGCTTATACGCCTTTATATGAATTTCATTCCACGAGCCAGTAATGTGCGCACTATTTTTTTCACTTTTGATGCGAGGTTTTTATATTTTTTCTTAACTAGCTGGAGTTAAGGCGAGACCTATAAAGCACTTGAAAAACCCAAGTACATGTACGTGAAAATAACAAGTGTTCGAATATTGAACATATTAATTAAGGATAGGCCATCTAGATGAAGTTAAGGCGAGACCGATAAAGCACTTGAAAAACGCAAGTACCTATACGTAGAATGAAAAGTGCACGATTATTCAGCATAATGAGTATAGGCATTGAAGATAGGCCATTTCCTAGGATCTAAGTAGAAGCTTCTAGATTAATCTCATACGTAAATTTAACGTCACTACAGCATACTTCAATGATAAAAACATACAGATACAATGTTCATTGTACAATGTTTAAGTTTTTTTTGCGTAGTTGGGGCTGGACACACCAGTGTGCTAAGAAAGTAGGATGGGCGCTATCATATAGAATGATAACGTGCAAAATATTAAAAGAGGAAGTGTGTAAAATATGTACAGGGCGTAAACGTTGCTATACGCATTGACTTACTACTGTATTTCGCAATGCGCGTTTGAAGCAACATTTGTTATAAAAATGACCACAGGTTTTGTATCAGAGATGCCGCTTGGACGACAATTAATATAAATAAAGCATATTTTGTAGAAGCCAAATGAAAATATAATACAATGTGGGCACATATACTTTGTGTTGATTTGTGTTATGAAATTTTATACAAGAAACATATTGTACTTATTAGCGATTATTATGTTAAGGCTTCTGCCGCTGACCAGAAAGCTATTAGGCGCGTCCCCGATCATCGCCCGGGTTATACCAAACCCAATGTAATTTACAGTGCCAAGAACAAGTTTTTAACCAAAAACTAAAATAGTTCGGCATATTGGCAGTTTTCTGCGTTTTTCGAGTAGAGACAGTAAATTTTGGAAGTTAGTTGGTAGATGTGTTTATCTGTCAACTTTGGAGCAGTTCTGATGGATAGCATTTTGTCTTTTACATAGAAGTTCTCTATGTCCTTCCAACTGACAACATGTTGTCCAAATTAAAATTGTAGTTCATCGGATTGTTTCTAGTGCATTTTATTAGATGTGGTGGATCAAACATGAGGTAAACTTTCTTGTTATTTTGAAGAAACCATGGTTGATCACAATTTACATTTAAGAGAAGAGATAAGATATAGAAGTTGGACCCAACGTCTGATATAATGACAAGGACATTCAATCCAATTCCCTTCAATTTATCAATAACTTCTTTGATTATTTCTTCCAAAACATCAATAGGACAGGACTCGATATCCTTCTCTTTCACCAGATTTTTTATCTTTCTGCTCAGCCTTCGTATTTTTTTATTCTTAGTTTGAATTTTTATTTTTCGTTTTCTCTTCCTAAGGGTGTTATTTGAGAGGGATTGGTTTGTTTGACCACTGAAATCTTGTTTTGAACACTTAGGTGCATTGTCTAAAGAAAATTTGTGGTCATTGAAAACTTTGTTAACTAGCTTATGTGTAAATTTGTAATCTAGCTGTTGCAAAACCATTACATTTTACCTTCTTCATTTTCATTTGATTGATTCATGGGAATATTATTAATTTGGTTGCCTTCAGTTGTTTGATGTTCTTCTATAAAGAAATGTGCAACTACAGGGTTAGATGCCACATAAAAAAATTGGAAAAGTTGCGCTCTCCAACTTTCCATCTCATCAATGTTGAAACTTTCACCATGCTTATTGTAGCACTCTTTGCTAAGTTGCTCTTCTCTTATTCCTTCAAAGTGTTTTAACTAAGTCAGTATCAACAACTTTATATACATGGTATTGCATGTCACCAACTAACCTGTAACATTGGCTATTTCTTCATGTCGAGATGTCTTTGCTGTAATAAAATTTTTTTGTGATCATTCAGTTCTTCCTGTTTCCTTATCTACTTCATTCTATGTAGCTTGCTAAGTGAATGATGTGTATAATTTTTAAGAATTCTTTTCCTCATTTTTTGTAAAAATAGTGTTTCATTGTTTTACTTAAACTTACTTGAAATCTATTGGAAAATAAATTCTGAAAAATTACTTATTTACCAGATGGAACATATTGAATTTCTTTCTTTCATTTGTCCTTCGTTTTTTACCAATTTGGAGTGGAGGATTGGGAATTTTGAATAGAGTTGGCTTACTCTGAAGATTTAATCTCTTCTTTTCCATGCTGGTGAACATGCAGTCCTCAAAATGATCTGCAAACAGTTTACAATTCTTGTAAAGATATTCTGCACTTTGGCCCAAAAGATCTTCACGACGACAATTGTTTACCCATTCCTTTGATCTGAAATACAAAGAAATGCTTAAAAACTTAATTGCCCATGCAGCATTACATAAAATTGCCATAATACTTGCAAACAAAAAATACGCTTACCTCTCTGGATTCTTTGGAAGACGAAAAAAACTTAAATCAGGACGAGTTTGTTTGCTTTGTGTGCAATTGATGGCAGCACAATGAGTTTTTGACCCACCCTTTTGTTTGTTCTCTTTGCCATGAAATATTTGTGTATGAATGACACAGAGAGTAGTACATAAAAACCTTGCAATAACTGTGTAGCCTTCCAGCACAAAATGAATGGTGGTCCTGGTTACTAATTAAATATGCAAATTCACACAGCAAAAACTTTCCAAGTTTTTTATTAAAAAAGAGTTAAAAAACAACTTTATTGTTAAACATATACAGATTTGACAAACAAGATGAAATTACAAAGTTTCGTTTAAAATGATGTAGATGCAACGCAAAATAACAAGTCAAAAAACTTGAATTCAAACATCAAACATAGAAGTACTTTAATATTTTATAAAAATATTCATCCACATTCTAAAATAACTGTGTCTTCATCACAACAGCATTGTTCGTGTACAGTAGGTCGTTTAATTTCTGCTATAAAGTAATAAATCCATTGATCATTCTATTAAGAAAATCTATTGTAGAAAATAAAAAGAAAAATAATAAGGCAAAATACATTAAAAAAAACCTTTATTAGTCAAAAACGACAAATCTACTGTGAAATTGCCTTCTAATATCATACACGTTGTAAAAACATTGATCACGTAACCAATACAATTCATTGAAAGAAACCTATAAAAGCCGTAGAATACGAATGACGAACGTATATTGCATTAAAACTATTTCTAATATTAATTCCTTTATATCCTGCTTGAAGGCATTAAAATTGTAATTGGAAAATATAGCTATTAATTTTGGCGGATATCACCCTCCATACAATAGAGTATAAGATTACTCCGTCGTTCTTTAGTTGTTGTGCTGTTTGGGTCACACTATTTCCACTTCGTCCATCTGTCAACACTATTAACACCTTCTTTGCATCTGTATAAATTGTTGAAAGAATTAATGATCCAATATATAAGTACATTTGAATAGAAACTCTTGTCTTTTATGCCTAGCTTAAAGAATGAATATCACGTTAAAGCTTTGCGCGTTGTGTTTACTTGTTGTATTGAATCTCAGCGATACGTAGTTGATAGGGTTTGTATCCTAGCTAACCAAATATAAAATGATGTCTTTGTTTAACTGACCTCTCGTTGATTCTTCTTTATCTTTTGGCAAGCTGTACTTTGATGTTAATGGGCCGGACTTTGTAGTATAAGTTGACATATTGCTGCAATAAAAACTTAATATGCTGCCATTTTTGGGTGCCTCGAAAATGGCTATCTATGGCTGGCTGAACGCGCAAAGCATTACTGTGAGACTTATTCTTTAAGATTGTTGTAAATGTTTACATGCACTATTGAAATATTCATGTTAACTGCAAATACTTATTGTTTTAGGATACAAGCGATTAAATCTCGCTTTAAGAAGTCGTGTTGCTTAAAATTTCAACTATATTTCAAAGTTCAAAATATGCTTAGAAGGTCAAGCTTCACAATGTGCTCCAATATATTATCAAATAAAAATGTTCAAGGTATCATGGCGAGAAACTGTTGTATGCAAACAAAACAAAATACATGCTGTAGCTGCTATAAATTACTGAATAGCCAAACAACTCTTCGAAATAAAAATACTCGAAGACTTTGGAAAACATTAAAAAAGCGTTTTTATCGAAAGCTAATGTGCTTTTTGATGCTCTTGTTTGGAGCTAGCCACACTTTTTGCTCGTGTCGTTTATGATTACAAAGTATTTTCATTGCTCTATTTACCCGGCGAACGTCTTGCGCCGTTTGTTTCTTGAAACATTTCAGTTCTGGCTGACGCTTTCAGTTTTAAGCAACGCCTCTCCTGTATTTGTATTTCCGCCGTAATAGCGTATGCCATCAATGGTCGAATGAAGGTCTTGCTTCTTTTCAAAGGTTTGAGAGAATTGGATTTCCAGTGTAGATGACGAACTTTATCACCGAAATGCGCGTGTTTTGTGGAGATACTTTGACGTGATCAAGGAAATCTTTTACGAATTTTAGCATTTTGAGAAAGTTGCTCGATCCAATGCTACTAGAACTATCCAATACAAAGCCTAGGTCTATAGACGTCTTACATTTTATGTCTCCGTCTTAAAAAAGTAGAAAGAGAATGTTACCCATATCTGTCTGCTTAGCAAGTAGTTTACTGAGATAGCATACAAATATTGCCTTGACTTATCCATAAAGTATGTGTCAGACATGAAACATATTTTTCATGCTGGTGTTCAATGAATGACTTGGTTATTTGGACTGTTTCTGTTAGCATTTCTTAACTATGTTTACAGATCGTCTAGCTATAAGATTTGGACATTTACCCGTAGAATTTCCTGAGCCAGAAGAATTTGTTACGTCTCTTTTCACGCGAATTTCTTTATCTGACTGGTTTCGTAGCTTAAAAATTTTTCCTATATCGTGTATACTTCCACTCTTTCTGTTTTCGTCTGTTAGGAAGACAATGATGGCAAATAATGTCATTGTTATATGTGAAGCGTCGCTTTCGGGGAAAAGTGCTCTTTGAGTGGCTTAGATACAATTTCCTAAAGCAAACTGCAAAAGTACGAGTGTGTCATGTCACATAATAAAGTTTTTGATAACCTTACGCTTCGTTACCAAGAGTTTAATAATGAATTATTTTCAATCTTAATAGGTTGTTAGTAAGAAGCTAAGGACTTTGGACAAACAACCTCAAACATTTAGCAAGATACTTTGTTTGCCGAAACCATGTTACGAGATTAATAAAAGTGTTGACGAGAAATTATAAGAATACTTTGAATTTTATTGGTCATTTTTATTCATGTCAGAGAAGCACGCACTTAAAAATTTTACATCATTCCATGAATGAACCAAATCCAATTCCTTGTTTCTTTCTATCTTCTTTGGAGCAATTCTACAACTAAACAAAAATGACTCTAGGATATGAAGCTTTATAAATATAACCGTAATTCTTAGACTGTAATTTCTCCACTTACTAGATGTCAAAATCCAGAACCACAAAAATAGATTACGAGCCATCTACAGAAAAATTAGGTGACACACTCATGAGTAATAGTAAACTTCAATTTAAGGTGATGGTATAAACAATTGTCATTAGCTATATCAACATTTTATTACTAGGTCAACAAAAGACTTAGTTTAAGGCTTGATGCATCATCTCTCACAAAGTACTTTGCTAGTATGGGTTTGCTTGTTGAATTATGCATACAATTGCCATAAAAATTAAAGTAGTAATCAGCTCCTGTATTTCATTTTAAATTAATAAATTATCATCCTACTACGTATCATGATTGGTAGAATTCAGGTCATTATATGCAGAATACCTTAGATACACATAATGTTACATCCGCAGGCACAGAATAGATACGTATACAGAAGCGCCACTCAGCGAAAAATCTGTCCCCTTCTTGTACCCAGTTCTTAAGTGCGCATCTTTTGCGTCAGCCATTACTCCGGCCAGATAAACTGGCCAGAATGTATATATATAATATTATGAAGAGTTGTTTTTCGAAAATTTGACGAATGTAAATTCACTTATGGATAAAATTTTAATCCCATCGGACAGGATACCAAGCATATGAGGTGAGAAAAAGTTTTGTTGTAAAATACGTTCGTCAAACATAATTTTACGTGTTTTATAGTTTCTTGCCTTGAATTGTATGCGAGATCCATGTTTAGAACGTCTCTTATATTGAACGGCAGTTGCCCTAAGAATTTATAATTTAGGACAAATGTAATAAATATATTTAGTGTGATTCCATTTCTGTATTTTCTGGTGAAGAGTTTCTTTATATTAGAATGGTCAACGGATTTGTTAGAAGCGATAAAACGACCTACTGTGCGTAAAGAACGTTCTTCAGATGAAGATGTTAATAGTATAGAATTTGAACAAACTAATTTATATTTGATGCTTGAATCGGGGCTTTTATTTGCAATGTAGTTTGTCTGCATAATTGTAATTAAAAGTTTTTATTTGTAATTGTATATTGAGTTCTTGTGGCTTACAAATAAAGATGTTTTTTGTTGTCTTATTTTTAATAAACAATATATGAAAATACAATTATTTAAAGAATGAAGTTATTGATAAATTGTTTCAATAAAATTGACAACTTTGTCATTATGTCAAACATATTGTCAAGCTCCTACAGCTTAGCTCTTTGGTTAAACTTCACTTGTGAGTTGTGACCAACAATTGCATGTGAAAAATGATTAGAATTATATTTTTATCAATATTTTTTTTGAGCCTTGATAATGATAAACTTAGAGCTTGATAATGACTTTGAAATGAAGTCGAATTATTGCTTTTAAATCTTGTTACATGCCTTTAGTGTTGTTCTGAAGGTGATTTAATAATATAGTTGAGCTATAATAGTTTGCTTTGACCAACGCTTAACTTTTACTTTCTTTTCTGTTATCAAGGCATTAACTGATAAAATTTTTTTGTGCACTGCTTTGTTGTGTTTTTTGTCTTGACAATGGAACTCATTCAGTTATAATGGGGGACTGTGGTTCGATGCAGCCACACGCATTGCATATCAGGAATTTTTACATTTATAGAGGTGAAAGATTCAAAAGACGTAAATTACCGTTATAAAGTATTTGAAATTGACTACTAAATTGTTCGTTAAATAACAAAACAGGAATATGCGTCGATTATGTAATTTCACCCACCTTGGCTTTCACAGCAAGTAGTTTACACAATTTGCAAAAGCAGTATCTTGTAATTAAAATAACCTTAACTCTAACCATAGAATAGTGTTTCTGCAGAAGGGTCACTCTGGTCTGCGCCGCGACGTCATGCCCGCCATCATTCCAGCAAGTTGATGAGCGTTTTTCATTTGTTTCCAACCGCTAAAGTAACATTACGTTATTTCTGAGTAATGAATTCAATAATATTTCGACTTAAGAAATGATTTTGGTTCATTTTAGTTGTTGGGAGCAAGTGAAAAACCCTAGATATCTTTCTGGAAATACGGCGCCGATATACGCGCCGCACAACATGCGCGAGGAAAAAAACATAGCTCCGACAGAAGTGATCCTTCTGTACGTTCCATATTGTGTGCCCTAACGTCATATTTTCTGTTTAGTCGACACTGTTGTCTCGGTACAAATTGTCTGTGTTTTTGACGTAAATACGAGTCTCTTGCAATTGCACCACAAATGTCGTTAAATATACCTTTTACCCGATCTTCCGAAAAAACCAAAAAAACGTGAGTGTCAAAGAATGTTTTTGGAGGAATAAGATGGTTATTTGATAAGATAATATATAAGATAAAGCATGTATTCAACTATTTACAAGCAAAGCCAATAAAAGCTTTAAAACATGAAATAGAATGGTCTTTGGCTGAAATAAAGATTAATAACATTTTTTCATCAAAAGACTTTTTAGTCGACAAATTAAAATTTAAAATATAACCCTTTTTAAAACGGAAGAAGTATCTTTAAGGGCGTGGCATGATGGCAAATGGCTATTTCAAGCCTATTTTAATTCAAAAGTCAATTTAAGACTATCAGTGCATTGCAAGTATTTTACACTGAAGATGAACTGAAAAATAAGGTTCATCTTCAGTGTTTGTTGCATCTTTTCTAACATACTCATTGTAAGATTTAACGACTATGATCGTTAAATGAAGGTGAATTCTTTATTCAAATTTCTATAAAAATGTCCATTTCCCTTAGGCATTAAGGAAATAACCCGGTAAGGAGGTGACTTGACAAAAAGTGGAGGTGTTGATTTTAGGAGCGGATGGGTAGTGCAAAAACCGAATAGAGCGTATAGCTTTGAAAACAAACGCAAGTTCGAGCAGAAAAAGTGACAAACAAAGATCACACTCGGAACTGATTATCAATGAAACCAAGACGAACATATTCAAATAGTTTCTAACAGCACTTCTTCTACAGTTTTATCTAAAGTGCACTAATCTGTGTGTTCGATTTCTTGGATAATTTTTTTTATTCCTTTTTCTTCATTTTTGAAAGTCTGTTTAAGGGCAAAGTGTCTATTTATGATAAGGAGTATTGTTGATTTTACGAACGTGTTTGATGAGACTTTTCTCTTTTCTAATGATCGTTTAATGACAACAAATTCATTCAAATGTTTGCTATAATCGTATACAAACATTATGTTTACGGACAACAAATTACTTTATGAAAAACATTGTTTCAATGTGTCGGACATTTTCTCAGCCAACGAGGTCAGCTCTTTAAAATCGTTCATTAAAAACACGTGATCTTTCTTTGGAAGTGAAGCCATTGTGTTGAGTTCATATTTGAAAATTGCAGAACCCACTCCGATTGTGTATATGACTACCCCCTGTTTCTTTAGTCTCTTAGCTGGCTGCCTTATGCTATCTAAACTTCGCCCATCCGTCAACACAATTAGAACCTTCTTTGCATCTAAATCAGTTTTGAGAAGAGAAAAAGGTGCAATAGGTAAACAGAAGTTCATTTTGTCTTACCTTAGCATTGCTAGAAATTGTTGCATTTTAAATCACAAGGTTAAATAGTTGCAATGTTAGTGGGACATTGTAATAATCTATGTTTAACATCGATATTAGATTCATTCTTTTCCAGTGGAAAGCGGGATGCTTTCACTGAAGTGCAATGATGTATTGTCTAACATTAACACCTGATTATGTTACTGATATTTAATATGGAATTCGAGCTTTGTCCATATGAACTGTTCAACATGCTTCCAAACAAAAATGAGCAGGAATATTCAGTTGATTAATCTATGATAAACCTTTCACCTTTTAACTCTGCTATACCGGTCACAAGCCCAGGACTTGTAGCGTATAAGGCTCTCTGCTTTTGAGTAGGCTTGTCTCGCTTACAAGGAAGAAGAGTGGAAGGTTAATTTCTCAAATGTTGTTAGATAAGGTCGTTATTGTTTGTAGTTGTAGGTTATAGCGTTGTGCTACATTTTAAATGTTGATGTCAGTTGTCTACCCCATATCTTATGTGATATCATTATATTTATAGCTGAAAAAGTATGTTTTTGATATATTTTTTTGCTAATGTTCTCTTTATTGTTATGCTTACCTTGTGGACTTCTTGCGCCATTTCTTTTTTGAAACATTTCAGTTCTGGCTTTTCGCAATGCAGCTCCAGTTCTCGTACCTCCACCACAATAATCTATACTATCGATGGCCCAATGAAGCTCTTGTTTGAATGCAAACATTTGCAAGAATTTTATTTCCAACGTGGATTTTGAGGAATACTTAATCACTGAAACGCGTGTATTTTGAGGTAATATTTTAAAGTTGTCCAGAAGCCGTTTGACGAATGTAAGAATTTGACGAAACTTATCGGGTCCTATGCTACTGGAACCATCCAACACAAAGCCAAGGTCTATCGAGTCTTGACATATAATGCTCTCACCTAAAAATATTGAAGCAATTTGATACAACCTGGGAGAAGACCAGCAAAAATTTAAAAAGTATAGCTTCTTTTAAGCAGAATGTTACTTGATCATATATCTGATTGAACAGCACGTAGCTAAAAATGATGACTATTTCTTAGTTTTCACTCATCGCTAACTCCGAGTAAAATATAAAGCATCTTTTATGTTTGACTCAACCAAGACTAACTTAGCCATTTTCCAATTATATCAATTACATCCCTCATGTTTTTTTATATTTATACCAGCGACACTACCTGAGCCACTAGAAGAGCCACTCGAAGACCCACTAGCAGACCCACTACCACTTTCCACTCCCATCTTTACACGAATTTCTTTAATTCTCAGTTCTTTTAGAGCGGCAATTTTTCCCATACTCTGTTCAATCTTTGGATTGCCTTTTTTGTCTTCGTCTAGAGAGAAAACGAATAATATCGGGCAAGGTCAAAATAAACAAGGTAAATTAACCGAAATATGCTTGATCCTTATTGTTTTAAATAAAACGTCCGTGTTTTTGGAAAACTAAAGACTTCTTATTCTTGTGAAATGTTTTCATTAAGATCTTAAGCTAATTTATTTGTTCAAACGATGTAATTACGTTCATTCAGGCAATGGCAGAGAGAAAACATGAAATCTGATATAAGAGAATTCCATCTCGTAGATGTGAAGGATATGACTTAAGAAATGTCATGTTTTTTGTCTTTGTGGGTGTTCATGTCTTCGAACATACGCCAATTGGAGTTTTAAATGCTTTTTGCTTCCACATTTGATGTGAGATTGCCATATTTTGTAAAACACATTTTGTAAAAGTATTTTTCGAGTTTCTGTAACAATGTGATGTTTCACCTTGCTTTAATATTTAGCAAGTCTTTCTTAGCAATTTCTTCGCCATGAATTGTTTGTAAAGCCTGTGTAGTGTTAAAATTTTCTATTTCAAGTTCACCAGAGGAATTTTTTTAACAACTGAGCAGTTCCGGAAAGCGAAAGTACAATTTAGCTACGTATTTCAAACTAAAGCTGATTTATCAGCTTGGCATATAATTTTTTTATCGGTAACGGGCCAGATTATTAAAATACGATGGAACTTTTAAAAGTTGTCACCATATGATTCAAGAAAGATCATAACTTTTTATGGTCAAGATGTGAATCAACGTATAAGCCCCCTCCTCGCGATGCTTGACAAATTCACATTTTCATCATACCTAACCACTACCACCAAATCATTGTTTGTGACAGTCTTTAGATGTTTTATCTATAAATGATGCATGAAATATAAGACTGGAACACGTACTTAAAAAACTTTCAACTTTCCATGACCGAACCAAATCTAGTTTTTTCTCCCATTGTATATTCTTTGCCGAGATTCTGTCAACTAAAATGAAGTGAGTTATGAAGCTATTTGACAATAATTAGTTCAGTCATTTCGACTGTAATTTTTGACTTACTTGATGTTAAAATCGAAACCTACAAAAACAGTATAATCCATACAAATAGTTATGTATGCATTAAATGGTCAGCATGAAATAATTTAGTCTGCAATAGGCGGTTTCTATGCATGTTACATTACGGCCGTAATCCAAGAAAGGCTATTTGTTCCGCTTGGTTTATTTATTTGCAAGCTAGTTTTGTTCATGCTCGTTGCAACTTATGGAAAACATGAGTACGTTTTTATGGCTGTTATATCGCGGCTTATGTCACTTTAATTTTACAAAGATTTTGCAAAAAAAATTTTGCGTAAGATTTTGCATAAGATGAAAATCAGTGTATGACAGTACTTTAATTTAACTCGTTTTGCTTTAACTAATATTGTACAAACCTTATGAAATCTCAGTAACGCGGAGCTGTCGAGTCCTGTTATGATTCACGTCTTAAGTTCAATTTCCATATAATCGTCTCGATCTTCTTAGCCGTCTCAGGGGCCTAAAAGCGCGCAGGAACGATTACAGAGATTTTATGGAAACCTTTTCGAGACGATCGAAACGAATGAGGCGATCAAAGAGATTACAATCGTCTGGATAGAAATCTGTTCTAGGATCTCTAATCTATCCAGACGACTGAAATGATTGCGTGGGATATTGTCCCTGCACGCTTTCAGACGACTGAAGCGACTAAGACGATCGAGACGATTATATGGAAACTGGGCTTTAGAGGGTCATTTAGGTGCGATCCATGATCTTAGCTACAATACAGACTCAGTCCGTTTGATTTTTTTTGTAAAAAAGCAAGGAAATATTTGTGCGTGGGTATGAGTTAAATCATTCACTCTTCTACCATCTGGCACATATAGCAGGGATCATTTTTAGACAGATTTTGGAGGAACTACAGTTCAACAAAAAGGCAAAGCCGCGGAGAAAAATTTACAAACTGAAAGCATTGCTTTTTTCTCGGAAATTTAGACAAAAAACAGTGCTTCTATGCCAAAAAGAAGGAGCACTTTTAACTCAAAACTAAAGCATTCGATTCAACTTTTTCTGAAATATATGTGTCATTGACAATTCTTTTATTTAACAATTAAGTTGGGAGTAAAAACTGGAAATATTAAAACATAAAACGCACTCGTTACCATGTTGTGAATTACTTTCTATTTTCGTGAGAGTCCACGCATACTACACGCGTGTTTTATTCATACAATCAATTTGTAGTCGCCATATTGGCTTAGTTTAACAATATCATTTTGCTTCAAAATATAAGTTATCGTTTTATTTTAGAACCCACCAAATACATTTGGTGTTATTCTTGTTCATTAAAATTATTCATGTGTTCAAGAAACTATCAATAGCTTTATGGTCGGTGCAAGATTTCTGATATGTTTTCTTTTAATGAAAAATGAAGACATACAATTTTTAAGGATCGAGAAAAGATAGGTATGTTGTATTATGATTATCTCTTAGGTTGTCGTACGTAGAGCAATCGATTCTTTAAAGGAATAAGAATAATCTTCATGCATTTGGTTGTTAGCCATTTTTGACTAAAGTTACAATACATGCATACTTGACATTATAACTGCAGTAACCATATGCATCACACTCTCTGATTCGTTCGCTTGTGGTTGATGATTAATGAAATTCCAGTGAAGAATCTCTTAAAGACGATGATTCATAAGTATAGGAGCAAATAAAGATGACCTGTTTGTATGTGTCTGCTTAGATATCAATTCATCAAATATGTTTTTTTCTGTTTTGTGCTGTCTTAAGATAAAAACTATTTGTAGCGTGATACACACTACTGCATGTAACTCTTTCAACTATATTCACTGCTATGCAAATTAGTTTCTTTAGAAATTAATTTGATGTATTATTTTTTCAGTGAATGAACATAAGAATATTTGCATAGAAAGAGCTGAAAGCAGACTAGCTTCGCCACTGCTGACGCTATTGTTGAGCTCGTTGATAGATTTCTGTTGAAACATTGTAAACGCATTTTTTTGCTGTTTGATCTGATTTGAAATATTAGAAAATGAAAATTATTATTATTATTATTATAAAAATATATTATTATTATTATTATATAATTATATTATTATTATATATTATATATTATATATATAATATATTATATATTATATATAATATATTATATATTATATATATATATTATATATTATATATATATTATATATTATATTATTATTATTATTATTATTATTATAATTAATTATTATTTTAAATTTATTATTTTAAATGTTTTTGTTTTTATTGATCAAGTGTTTGGTAAAATGTATTATAAAATGCTCATTATTGGATTTATTCGCATTTCACAACACTTCATATTCAACTCGATTGGTAAGATCTAATTTGTTGGAAATCCGTACACCAATAGAACTGTTTCAAAGGTAGTTCAAAATAAAAATATAACTGCGCTATAATTTTTTGCCTAATCTTAACTGGATTTACAACAAATAAAAAACATCGCGAAGCATGCCACATTACATTTAAAACTCTGAGCCTTTGATTTATCGACATATGAAGCCATTTAGTAATTATTAATTGATGCAAACTCATATATTTAAAACGCGAAACCCTTTTTTTCCTTGGAAAAACGATGGAAAATATCGAATGTTTTCAATTTTCCAAAGTTATATACTAAACTGCGAACTTTGACCATGGTTTAAAAATGAGCATTGGTATGAATTCATAGAAAATGACTAGAGAGGATGATGATTAATTTGTTTTCGTAAATTCATAAAAGTTACTTTACCATACGATATTGCTTCTTGAAGACTTTAAACTTGTGCAGGTCAAAATGCTTCCTTGATCGTCAGTCGAGTACCGTCTTTGTTATAGTAAAAGTTGTCAATGAAGAACCTACAATAAAAGAGGGTTTTGCTAATCTTGACCTTCCATGTGTATTTGCATTCATTATCACAGTACAAGACTGTAGGGGGTCGTGCACAAGAGTTTAATCTCTAAACGAAAATTAGTAAAATGTGCGTGAACATAATTGGTTTTTTTAATGATTTTTTTCCCCTTTTAACTTACTTCTATTAAATTTGTATGGTTGTTTTTTCTCATCTACACAAAAGAAATGCCATACACAGCAAAGTACGTCGATGGTAAGTTTTTGCTTTTCTTTGTAATATTGACAACAAAGACTCTTACATTTTTCACAAAACACGACACAGCTCATATTTGGCCAGTGACGATGATATTAAAATACCTAAACACTTTTTCATGTAATTTTGTCTCCCTCAGTACGAGGCATTTTCATTACTATTTTATGTATCGTGTTATTCGATTCACTAAAACTTTACTAAATGTTTTGGATGCATAGAATGAACGTATAAAAGCTAAAATTTTCTTTTCATAACGTATACGTTCGATAGTTAAATGAGCACACTCGTGATGTTGCGACAATAATAGGACACGCTGTCGTGTGAATCTGTTGTCGTGGTGATTGCTGAAACGCAGAGAATGAAATGCGAATTTTAAAAATCATAAAATAATTAAAAGGTCTTTATTGTCTGTGCGTTAATTCTTTTGGTTTGCTACTACGATATGTTAGTTTAGCGAGTATTTATGTATTCTCCAAACAATAAAAGTAACTAAATCAAACTCGTCTTACTTTAATTATGCCTTTCTGTGAATGACTTTTATTATGCGTTGTTAACCAAATCATTAATGCATTTATATATAAGTATTACTTGTTCTTAAGTGAGAAGATAGCTTTGTAGATGATCGTGACCAAAACACCACACGAGTACATATGAGTGACATACCACTATATACTGGTCACAAATGAGAAATAGAACAATTTTTTTAATAATACATTGATATTTGCATTCACTTTTGCTTGTATTTGTCTGGACTCTTGGGCGACAATTTGATGGATATAAATGCTGAAAACATATTTTATTTGCATACTATATCCCTTTGTATGTTTTAGTTGAATTTGATGTCTGTTGTGCGCAATGTCTTAATCTACTAAACGGTTTAAATGTATTAACAACTCCAGTATTGCTCTGGAGTTGCCATAAAATAAACTCCCGTACAAAAAAATATGAAGCAGTTGTTTTGAGAACTATTAGTGCATGAGTACTCCCGGGTTCAAACCATTTACTTTACATCAATATATTATTGAAAAAATTGTGCTATTTCTTATTTGTGACCAGTATATAGTCGTATGTCACTCGTATGTACTAGTATGTCACTCGTATGTCACTCGTATGTACTCGTATGTCACTCGTATGTACTCGTATGTCACTCGTATGTACTTGTATGTACTCGTATGTCTGTCTTATGTACTCGTATGTACTCGTGTGGTGCTTTAGTAACGATCTTTGTAGACAAACAGATATTTTTTAAAAACGTACACTAGTGGAATCAAGCGTCTGTTGTCAAACTCGAAGACCTTTTGTAAAATTTACCCTGCTTTTACAATCATAAAATATTGGATTATGACGGACAAACATCCGTTTTGGTATAAGAAAAGATGCTAAAAGAGACGAATCAAACATTCGATTTTATCAGTTGTACGCTTTTTCTACGCTTAATGGCAAATGTCGTCTAAAGGCCATCGGCACGATTACTAAATCAACTGCCAAAGTGCACGTCAAAACAATGACAAATATTGCGGTAAAACCATGCTTTAAAATTTTAAAACTCATGGTAATGCCACGTTAGTTTCACGTGGAAGTGGGAAACGCGGAATGGAGTGTGGTAGAGCTACACGTCATTGCTTTTATTGGAGAATGCGCTATTTATGAAAATACAATGAAAGCCTCTTATTTTTGAAATGTTTGTTCGTGTTGCCATCAGCTTGGAGACATGTCCTCTAAGTTTTGTTCAACTTGCAGAAAATGTGAGCTACTCTTTACTTACCTTGTATTTTATTCATGCTCTATGTCATCATCTCCTTTCAATGTCTTAAGTCATTTTTGAAATATATGTATATAACTAAATCCCACGAGGTTTTGTAAGGAAGTTAGTAAGTATATAGCTGTATCACAACAAGGGCAATGATGGATCACTTTTTAATTTATTCTTTGCCCGACGTTTCGTTCTTGTATATTAGCTACATTCCGTAGAAAATATGCTCTCTGATGTTCGTTTCGAATTTAGTTTTATGTTTTTCTTTAAAGCTCTGTCGACTTTAAGAATTCAAGGAGCAGTGCAAGAGAAAGAGAAAAGTTAGCAAAAAGGAGAGCGATGTTCAAACATTGGCAAAATGATATAGGAGTCATCTGAAGAAAAACTAAAAGAAAAGCAACCAAAGCGTTAAGTTTTGCATTTGACAGTTGAGACATTAATAGAATGAAGGACATAAAGAAGTATATAGGAGTTTTTAATGAATTTTCTTTCAAGGGTAAAAATCATGCACTTGTTTTAGAGAATAGTCTTTAAGCCAAATTTCTACTTGGTTTGAGTGACAAACTTTTTTGTCTTAGAAGACTTTAAGAAGAGTAAAAGAAGGACAACAAGCAGCTTACACTTTTTTGTTTACAAGTGATTGCTTTGCTTGCATTGAAGACACGTGTTCTAGCCAAGAGGATCAGAAAAAGAATTGCTAGGCATTTTTGATTAGAAGCAAGATAGAAAAAGAAACTGGATCATGGTAAAAGCTTCTACTCGCAAAATAACGTAATAAGAGGTGGCAATTATTTTTGACTGCAGAAACTAATATCGAAACAACATTTTTGGGTGAAAAGTTTTTCTATAATTATTTAGTCATAATTGTAGGAAAGCGGAAACTGCATGGGAAGCAATATAAAAGTCACAGCAAATGGGCATCAAAATAAAAGACAATAATCACAATATGTAGCTAATAATGTGCCAATGTATGATATTGAAGGGTGAATCACTGTCCAACAAAAGAAAGTTATGTCAACCGTTGTTTTTACTTCATGTCAGATGCAAATACAAGTTGATAAAACTCTTCAAAAATTTCTTTATTTACAAAAGCAATTGTTTATAGCTAAGTGATTCAGATGACAGAGATTTACTGGATTTGACATCAAAATGCAAAAATATATGTAGCTAAAGGAAGATTTGAGTAAGTCCTGAAGCATGTTTGTGCACACAAGAAATTCTTTCTCCTGTGACTGGAAACTAGATTTAAAGCATCAACAATAAATGAACTTGAAATAGTAAAATTTGCCGTCATTCCAGCTTCTCGCAAGTTCGAAATTGTGCCTGGAAATGCGCCAATTCAGGAAAGCCTTAACCAGCTCGCAAATTGGCCAATAAGTACGTTTCAAGAGATGATAAAAGGCGACTATCCTTGATAAAACACAAGTTGCAGCAGAATCTTGTATATACTAGAGAAAACATCGAATGGCGAAATATTTATATGTGCATGTTTCGTAAGTGCACCAAATCTTTTCTTCATGATAGAAAAACGCTATAAAGCCAAGAGGCAACACGCGATGGAATGGTTATAAAGTTTCAAGAAATTATTTGTATTCAATTACTAATTCCAAGAATAGCAGACTTGGCAATGTTCTAAAGTTTTTTGTGCAGTCATATGTTGTTCTATTCAAAAAAAAAACTCACGCGTTTTCATAATCATATCCGATGCTCTTTCATTTTGGCTATTTGTCCCTAAATAAATGAAATTATTAAGTTCTCCTATTGTCATCAGTATTTTTTTCTCAATCCTCTTAAATATTTTCATACTTCGCTAAAAACAGAAAATGAACGCTTTCACCATTTTACAATCATCATCGTTGAAAACACCGACAACCATATCGCCTTGAGTATTTCTCCATAAATCAACACCACTAATAATGTCATTTCTATGTTTGTTGGAATTAAGTTTTCTCTGTAATTGAGAAGTTCTTCGTCGTGCTGGTGCTCTACTATGTTATTGAAACTTATGGGTATTAGTGAATGCTTTTTCTTTAGGATCCCTTTGTCTAAAGTTTATTACAGAAATGTGAGCGGGTTGCGAACAGTCGCCTGACGGAAACACAAGCGAATGCGGTCGTATTTGAGGTTAAGAATGTGGCAAAGAGTTGTCTGACAGCATTTTCGTGCACTTCTTTGTATCAACAATTTCTTTCACTTGACAGAGACAACGAGATTTCAGCGGTACATTTTGTGGGATATAGCAAACGCATTGTTTTCCAGCTTTTCATAATCTTCCTGTTTCTTGTATAAGACTCACCACAGTGCAAGAAGTTACAAAATGAACACCTTATAAACGCCTATTTCAAATGCTGCAGTGAATATATTATGTTAAAGGTAACTTTTTTCTTGGTCCTTTTATCAACAACGTGATTTTTTACGGAATCAGGACTACAAGCAACCAGCATGAAGCATTTGCACAAGGCACCGATAACATTGGAACTATATTATCAACTGTATTGCTGGTACTTTGTATGTATTGAATAAGAGGGTTTGTTTTTATTTTAGGACGATAGATTCATAGAATTGTCGGCAAAAAGTGTAGTTGTCTTGTATATTGGCAATTTACGTGAATTTTGTCAATGTTTATCTCAGTTTTTACTTCCAAATATTTCAAATGGAAACACGCGAAAGACATATGATTTTATAAATGTTTTAATTAATGTACTTTCATAGATGCCAGTTTGTCATAAATATATAAATACTAAAACTAAAGAAAATGTGCAGAGAAGTGTAGTGTTGCAGGCATATGGTGCAAATATATGGGAAATTAAGTGTTTTACATGTGCATAGAAGTTAATGGTAAAAAGTGGGTGCTTTGTTATCATCCAATCCGAACGTTGTAACCTATCAGTTGTTTAATATCAGTATAGTATTTTACATGTGGTTTAAGGTCTGGTTTGAGTTTATTATATGTACTCAAACATTGACATTTTAAACAGCTATTAGGAATTATAGTGTTTATGTAAAATGTTCATTGGACATATCTGTTTGTAAAAGATTTTGCATGCAAGTGAGTAAAGAATCAATTGATTTTCTGCGTTTCGGCAAAATATATTAATTGTACCTGCTAATTGGTTAAGAATTTGCAAAGAACTATATCCTACCAGATATTGAGCTTTTGTAATTTATAGTTTAACTAACGCCGAATCTGCAACTGTGCATGTGTATGAATACTACTCATAGATGTGAAATTGTTTTGTGCAGTTGAAAAAGTTCGACTTCTTTTACAATCATTTCCCGTGTCAGTAAAAGAATACCTCTTACTCATAGCAGTATGAGATAGATACGTATGATATCATCATGTAAACAACACATGGTAGGTAGACAGCCCCATACCAACCATCAAGAACAAAATCATCGTTTTTGAACTGGATGCTTTGCATTGACCTATAAAATAGTTCGAAAGAACATAGAACGTTATGAGGCGTTAAAATTTAATTTCTAGTGACTAGAATTTGTATTAACTTGCGAAATCTTTTATTATTTTATGTGCCCCAAGGCCAAACAGCCTCGATTAAAATTTGAGCAAGTATTTTTAGTATGCTTTGTTGACTTAACTCTAACACGATTCGTTACCCGTTTTCTTGACTAGGAACTAACCTGAATTTCTTAGGTCGGTCTCGTCTTTCTTTTCACCTTCATTATCGTCATTATTGTTTACTTCTGTAACGTTTTTTGATATGTCTTTATCCCCATTTGTATTGCTTCTTGATGTGTCGTTTTTGTTCTCATTTTTATCGTTTCCTGGCGTGTCCTTATTAATCACATTTGTATTGTTTCTTATGTCCTTATTGTTCACAATTGTAACGTTTCTTGATGTGTCATTATTGCCCTCTTTAATTTTGTTTCTTGATATGTCCGTGTTCACATTTGTATCGTTTCTCGGTGTGTTTGTATTGTTCCCGTTAGTATTGTTGCTTGATGTTTGTTTTAGTGTAAATGGACCAAGAGAAACCATATAATCTTGATCTGTGGCATCTGGGGAGGCAACGTCACGACGTCTTCTGGCAGGACACGTGGTACTTCGTGTACACACTGAGTTCTGTATACTTCTACTACACAATTTTAGTGTACAATGAATGTAGACTAATGTATGATCAACCAGAAATCGGAAGACTTGCATGCGGTATTGATGAGTTTGCTGCAATCCCGATGTGACATGAGTGATTGTCGAGTCTTTGTCGCAACTGAAAACACAAAGATTAATCACATAATTACTATCAACTGGTTCAAGAGTATGGATCAGTTGTTTCTCAGATTTAGCAGTAAACTATAGAGAGTTATTTTTTTATCGTGGCAAGTCTCTTTACAACTCGACAACAGCGAGAATCATTCGCTTTAAAGATAATGCTATGGAAAATAAAAAAGTTTGAAATTTATTTAAAGAAGTGTTTTAATAGTTAAAGTATATAAGACAATTACTGAATAAAACGTTTAAAACAACATACGATTATGGACGAAATTTATGTCTACGTTTGCATAAGAGTACTCACTATTCGGCGATAATTGGATACTGAGGTGTAGCGAAAGCTTGGTTTGTTGGTGTAGCATGACATGACTTAGCTCGAATAACAATGTCAGGGTTGGCTGTCAACACTTTGTACTGTATGTTGATGTAATCATCAAAGCTCTTGAAAGAGGGATAATTTTCACTGGTTGACGGATAAAATTGAGAGTTTGCAAAGGAACCAAGTTCGATCGTAAAGTTACCAGTACTTTCTGTAAAAGAAAGTTTTTGTTAAGATATTGACTCGCTTTAACTCATGCTGTTATGTTCTTTGGAAAAATATTTATTAGGAGTGACTTGATTCTATTTCTTTAAATTCTTCACTTTTTCTTCTTAAACAGGACTAATAACAGTTTTGTTAAATTTTACGCAATCGTAGTTTGTCTGATTCTAGCTAAATAATGTGATTTATTGTGAATAAAGTGAATTCCATGATTCTGTAAGAGATTTTTCCTGAAAGAGTTTGAAGATGAAATTTTGCAATTGGTTGATCCACTGTAATGTGTATAGTGATTAGACTTCAATGTTCTTGTTGTAAAGTTTTGTTGACTGTTAAACTTTGATGTTAAAAATTTAATCTTTGACTATTTTTTAAATTTTTACTCGTGCTATGCAAATACTTTTGCTTCTATTCAGCAAAATAGCAACTAAAACTGACTTTCTAAATAAATAAATAATTTTCATTTTTAAATATTTGGGTGGTCTTACCCCTGCACGCACGCTTGCATGCATAACAATGCCTTTTTTGGTTTTGTCTAATTTGCAAAGATGACTTCGTAGTACGGATTTTGGACATTGAAAATATTGGCATATGTAATGTTTGCTGTTTGGTGAAATGTAATTTTATGTTGTGTTATTATACTTTAAAATGCGTAAATGAACATGCAGAGGGAACAGTCATGTTTAACCTAATACACAACCAAAAAGCTACATTAAAATAATTCTCTGAAGAATTGCACTCAATAACTTTGTCTATTTTGTTTACTCTTCTGATTACTTCATTCTTACTTTGTGTGATTTCAAGCACAGGATCCGGTGGTTCGAAAGTAACACCGCTTATATTGACCGTACGGCTGTAAGTACAGTGGAAGTGAATTCTGATCTCTTTTTCTCTGGTGATGACCGAGCCACTGGATTTTCTTCGTATGGTCAATGTGTTGGAATAAATTATCTCTTGTTGGGTCTGAGTATAGATTGTCCCACATTGATTTTGTATCGTAGAGATGAACAAATGGGTTTTATTGTGGCTTGCCTTGCAGCTTGTGTCAAGGAGGTGTGCATTATTCATGTCCAGATTCGCCAATGAGTGTGCACCAATTACTAACGTTATATTACTTGATCCACACATAAGATGATATGAGTTTGCTGGAAAACAGAATTTTCACATGTTTAGAAAATTAGAGGCAATTGTAAAATTAACTATAACATAAAATTGCCAAACATTGTACGCTGTTTTACAGCTAAACGTCTTGTTGATATGACGTATTACAGGTTCCCCATCGCCGCTTTTTAATTGAGTATGTAAAATTTACTGTATAAATAAAGGGAAAAATGTTAAATTCCATGCACTCAATATCTTATGTGCTATATCACTAAAAAATCTGAAATATTTTCTTTGTGTTGATGTCGGAACTTACCCAAACAATATTGAAATTGTGAAATAACACACATCATGCTAAATAACAGTTAAATAAATCACGCAATCACATTTTACTATAGTTGATCTAACATCTACCTTTGCAAGTTGTGGAGGACATGCGACTTGCGAACGAGTCGAGCGCTTGAAAATTGTTCAACAAAAACACGTGCTCATTTGATGGAAGTGATGCAATCTCATTAAGTTCAGTGTTTGAAACCCCAGCTCCCACTCCAATGGAGTATACGATGACTCCGTCATTCTTTAGTCTTTGTGCTGGTTGCGTAACACTGTCGCCACTATATCCGTCTGTCAGTACTATCAGTACTTTAGTAACATCTGGAATGACAAAGGAAAAGTTAAAAAAATTGGGCATAGAAATTATTTTCTGGTTTTGAATCTTTTAGTCTTTTGTTGAGACTGTATGAAAATATCAATAATTGAAATGATAATGTTAGGATTCCTTTTAAAATTGTTTGATTATCTATGCATTTCCAACGAACTTCAGATCTTGCCTTGACTATTTCAGTTCATAGAAAATTGACGAGCTTCGTCAGAAAGTAAATACCTGCAGTACTCCGAGCACCGTTACTTGTTTGGAACATTCTGTTGTAAGCTAAGTTTAAAGCGGCGCCTGTAGCGGTTCCCCCACCGGGATACGATATAGCGTTGATGGCCGAATCACGGGCTTGTTTGGTGGCAAACGTTTGAGAGAATGTGATGTATAGCGTCGGTGATGAGGCATACGATATCACGGAGAAACGTGTTTCGGAAGCAGAAATCATGAAGTGATCAAGAATGTCTTTTACGAATTGGAGTATTTTTGAAAGTTGTTAGATCCAATGCTACCAGAGCCATCCAGTACAAAACCCAGATCTATGCGTCTTGTACAGATATTGTCATCTGCATGATGTTAGGAAAGCAAAAAGATTTTTTCAATCAGATTGAAATTTGGAGCACTTATTGTATATTTAAAATAGATGCATCTAATTCGTTTCATTTCTGCGAAGTTCTACCTAAAGGTAGAACCTAGATGATGTGAAGTGTTTATAAAAACTCTATTTCTCTTTCAATCATGTTAAAGAAATGATCTTAATGCGACAAGACTTTGTTCAACTGACTAAACTTTTTTCTAACTAGAAAAAAACTATTTATTTAAAATTTCTACTATTTTCTACCTGTCACTTTTTTGACGCAATCTTTTTATAGAAAATACACAGGTTGTATAAAAAACTGAACAAATAGGAATACGTCCCTAAAGGTGATCAGCTTGCAAGATCTCAAAAAGCTTTGATGGAAAAGGTAATTGGACTTCCAATGGCTCATTTGACTGTAAAATGGTTACAAATACTAAACTCTTTTTAGAGTGAAAATATTGCTACCGAGAAGTACTTTTGAAATAGCTTGCGTACAATAATGACGAAGCTAAAGAGAAATTAGAAAGCACAGGGTTAAAATAAGGCAGATGTTGTTCACGCTAACAAAGTTTTAGGAAAATTGAAGCGAACGCTTAACATTCAAATAGCGGATTATTTTTCGTTTTTTCTTTTACATTGCCGTTTCTTGAAACTTTCATCAACTATTCATATTTGAACTAATTTATGCTCACATTTTTGCATAGTTAATAAAGGATTATAAAAAATGACATTTAAAAACGAAAAACTTAAAATTCTCTTTCGCGTACGCATAAGCCAAATTTCCTGAAACTTGTTGGCTTAAACAACATAGGTTATAATTTAACCCCATGTGTTCCAATTACTCTTTAGTTATTTCATTTTTGTGCACGAGCCAATTTAAAAGTGCTTCTCTGTAACACTATTCTCGCTCTGGAAATGGTTAGTATTTGTAAAAATTTTACTGTCAGATGAGCAATTGGACGTCTTCCTATTTCTATCAAAGCTTCTGCAGGTTTTTCAATTTTTATATATTCAGCTTTGCCCTGCTGGTTTCTTATAAAATTATAATCGCCAACAAAAAAATTCAGTCAAGAAGAGCAAGATATATAAAACACCCCCCACACACTAAAATTTCTAATTTTGCTCCTGAATCTATCTTGTATACGTTTAAAATTTCTCAATTTAATATGCTGAATGTCTATAGTTGTCCAGACGTCAACCATGAATTTTTATCTACATTTATAATCATTTGAAAAACTCACTCGTTCATGTTTATCCGTAATTGCATGCACTCAAAACTATGCTATGACCTATAAAAAACAGCATACCTGAACCACTTGAACCGTAAGCGTCTCTTTTTACACGTATCTCTTTCACGGGCTGTTCGCGTAATGCGGCAAACTCGCCTACGTTTGATTCAAGTTTTGTTTGGTCTTTTGCATTTTTTTCTAGAGAGAAAATTATAACCTCAAAGGCAAATATTAATGGCTTTTACAGCCTCTCAGTTGTCCTATTACAATTTTCAAAATGGACTTCTAGATCAGTAAAGAAGTGCAAAAGAAGGTTTCAGGTTACGACGAACATAGCGAAATATTAATAATGAATACTTTTAAACGTGAGAAAAAAAAGAATATAGTGATGATGAAAACCATTTTCAACGATTAGTCATCGTCGCTGTAATATTTTATTTCAACTTCATTCTTATCAGCTCAGAAAATAAAACAACTGCTTACTTATCAAGTTTCCAACTTCCCATGATTCAACAAGATCAAATTTCTTTTCCCACTTTACGTTTTTTCCACCGATTTCGTTACCTTAAGAGGAATGTCCATTAAGTGTGGACTCAAAATATTTAAGTAAAGGAAATGCTGTAAATACTTACATGACACCAAAATGTAAAATAAACAGACGACAGCCCAATTCATCTGTAATAATATATGAGAAAATTAAAGTTTTACTCTTCTAATGTTTAATCTTAACCAAAAAAAGTTTGAAAGACAATAACAACCCACGCAGCGAACGAATGTGATATGGACACGTCACTCTTTGACGCAAATCTATGGAGCGAAAGGCTTTAGAATGCGTGTATCATAGAGCCATCTGTTTTCGGGAGGAATCGAAAGTTTAAATTAGAAGTGGAAGTTTTTGTAATGAAAACAAAAATTGACTCTCGATTTGCAATTTTCTGCGAAATTGGAAAACAAAAAAACGTAAACAAAGCATCGAAATATGTTAATTTGAATATGTTGATTATACTGTTAGCTGTCGCATAAATTATACTCCTTTATTCGAGCTAAAGGAGCGATTCCAACTCTGTTCCGGTATCATCTTCAATAAAATTTTTGTAATTTTTGGTAGAAGGAACATTGAGACAGAAAATACGAACAAACTATATGAGAGAACACTTCAAAGCTGTCGAATTATACATTTGCGCTTGAAATTAAGGAAGGGAACTAATTTGAATAAAGCAGTGTAATTTATGTGGCAGCTCAAACGAATGTTACCTGTATGGGCCTATGACGTAGGCAACAACATTCAATTGCCAAACAAATATACGTAAAATCCTGGGGTGTAATAAAGTTAAGGTATTGTTGAGAAAAACGACAATAAGGCGGCTGACAATTGTTGAGGATGAACGTTTTATTTTGTTATCTTCAATCGCTCGAAATCCCTGGGAAATTATGTACATATAGCTTAAACTCGTCTTCAAACAGCAATTATGAATTTGAAAAGTTATTTGTGAGAGAATTAATTTCAGAAGAAGACAAAATTTCAAGCGAGCAATATGGAAATGATAACGGCAGATATTATAACGTGGCGACTAAATCGCAATAATCGTCTGTGCAGCATATTTTTCGCTAAATTGGTAAATCTAGGTAAGTATAATAGTTGCTTAATCAATTGTGAAGATGTTTAAGAAAAAAATCTGATCGTTGTTTGACAATAACCTCAAGGAATAACCTCGCTATGCCACTATTAGGCTGCCCCTTCACTTTGCTACATTTGAACGCATCAGCTATTATAATTTCAGTTTTAACGCCAACTGTCGTGACTTTAAATAAAATACAGTCGAATGGGTAAATGGATTAAATTTACAAAGTTTACGAATTTAATGTTCTTTTAACTGCCATCCTGCATGTATTTCGGTGTTTGCAGACACTAAATTCATTTAAATTCTAAAGAAATTCAGACAATAATTCAAAATGTACATGGCTGCTGATCCTAGTATTAAGTCATGCAGTCTATTTATTTTTACTGAAAGTCCTCAACGTAATCTTTCTCCTAGCTCTTCGTTGCTCTGACGAATACATCGTCTGCACGCTTAATTAATGACTGTCAAGACATCAGGAAAATCAACTTGTACAATCTACTCTAACATGTACAACTTTACACCCGTATTTATGTGATAAGCACGTGTGCAAAACATGGTAGCAAACTTCTATATTCTTATGATAATTTGTCTTTATGTGTGACGTAATGCATGCACAAGGTCGTTCAATGACGTCAATGTAACGCTTATTGTATTCAATTGGGGCTCGGGCGGGGGGTCTCAGCTCTCATTTAAATTTCATGTATTCTGTTGGTAGTAGTAAAATATATTTGAGAGAGACAGCACCAGTTGTACAATATAAATCAGACAGGCCACCTTGTTGAAATTTATGTAACGCACTTCTGATGCCAAGGTTTGTCATTTGACGTTGTTTGAGGTTGAGCTACTTTGTATATAGTTCATCTTTTGTATGAACTTTCTACTTTTCGAATGGTTTTGCTTTTTGATGTGTATGAAAATGCATTTGCACTTTTGAAGCTGTCGCAATTAGCTAATTAACAATCTACAAACTAAACAGATACATGCTTAGGATATTCGAACGGCCGCAGAAAGTACATGCTATAGTATGTATAGTGATGCCATTTACGGATTGCCATATAGAGATTTACGATAGCTCAAAGCGCAAAAACCTCAATAACATTATATCAGTTGAAAACATCACCGGAATGTTCTACTGTTGTGCATGACTAAGCAGACAGATTGTAATCAATGTGTTTAAACAATTTTTACACAATTCACAATTCTTTTTGTCAAATAGAAAAGTCGTTCTTCTGTTGTGCTTAGCGTCTTTTGTGAGTTGTATCTGATACGAATTGTAATAACAAAACAAAAATTAACACAAAATTTAAATATATTAACACAAAGCCATTGTGATTGCTGCATAGTCAATTGAAATAATTGTTTATGCTTCATTGCTTTCTCAGAAGAATCAATTGGTTTCTTGTGAATTGGCAGCAAATACTAAGAAAAGCCTGTTGGTTGCTTCATTATGCATATGATGACATGAAAAGTTGTCTAAAGGATTAAAAACTAAGAATACAAAGGAGTGTAATTTAGAAATTCATCACCACAACTGCTGGTTTTTTGCTTGTTACTCTATAATGAACGCCTGATTTAAAAGTCGATTAGGCAGCGTCGTCGTAAGTTAGAATTTGTGAAATTGCATGCGCAAGGCATAATTTTGTGCCATTTTCCGAGTCTATGGTATTGCTGTTAACTTTGAAAAGTTAGAATGCAGTTTAGCGAGAGAGGCATTGACTGCCTTTTGTATTATACCAACATCAAATTTGAAGCAATCATCTCCATCATACGTCATAGATTATTATTTGCTAGAATCAATTGAATATCTGGTCTGCGTCAGTGTTAACGACCAATACCAGTTGCTTAAAACTTTTTCTTGCTTCTTGATGTGTTCTTTCGAATAGCTAGCTATTATGCTTTAAAAGTCGTTGTTTTTTTTGAAAATACTGTTTCTTTCTTAAAAACAGGAGATAGCTTTTTGCGGTATGAATTAAATTTCAATTTCAATTTAACTGACCAGCACTTTAAACCCATTAATGATAACATGGGATCAATGTTGCTAAAAAGTACTTTCAAAGACAACTGAATTACATTGATCTAGAAATTGGGCATGGAAGATAAAGCGAATATCATTTCTCGGATTTCCAGCTTTTCTATATGTTCTTGTGAATGAATATTTTGCATATAAAAGTGGTTGTTTTTTCAGAAATAGCGGTTCCTGCTTTAGATAATAGCTTGGAAAAAGAGGTATTTTATTCACGTAAATTTGAATTCAGTCTAATTCACCTGGAATAAGCCAATCACAATTAGCTTAAAATAAATGGAAAGAGTTTTATCTGAGACAAAATGTCAGATGTTGAAAATATATGTGCCGCCTGGCCTTTAGATTAACTTTGTAAGTTTTGCCTATAAGTTACATAACCAAGTAATAGATGATGGAAAGAAAAGTTCAAAAAGAAATCGTCTGTTTTCCATAACCGATGTACTGTTTTCTCAGGTGCAAATATTTGTTACACATAACGATGAATTCAGCAAGATAATACATAAGTAATGCAGCTTTCAGCCAAAAATCGTTTGTGCAATCGAAAAAAAATTTGAAATAACTGGTAGTAGCTAATCAGAAGAAAAAGGCATTACATAAGCTGTTTCAAGATTAAGAGTTTTCTTCTTACCTTAGCACATGCAGTCCAAAAGTTGATACTTTGCTAGTTTTCTGCTTGTGCTCTTTGCTTCAAGACGCTAGCACCCCAATGTAAATTGAACAAACATTTGTGCGGTTATGTATAGTTGCAGATCATATTATTCATTAGGTAGTGGGTGGAGTGATTTAATGATAACGGAAGACGCTTGAAAATGAAATAAGTGCTAATTGACTAATTGTCAATTTGTTTGGAATGTTTTCACAGGAAAAAGTTGTGGCATCCAAAGTGTAAACGTGTCATGTTTGAACAAGAAAAATTTACATTTAACGTCATCGAATTGAGTTTATTAAATAAGTTCCAAAGCTTTATTTTCTTCCGTTCTATATTCCTCTTTGCTGAGTATCTTATTATATTTTAGCGAGTTCACTTCTGAGCAAACAACTAATGAATCACAATATGCATTCTTTTAGAAATACTTGTTCCTTTTTTTCGTTCATTGAACATTTGAAGAGCTATGAATCTTGGCTTTCTTTAGGTCTCGATTACAATCTCAGAAATCGACTTTATCTTACAAGTACCGACCAATGTTGATAAAAGGCGTGACGTTTGAAAATTTGAAACTTTAAGCGTGATTCAAAATGTATTGAAGCTAGAGAAAACTGTGTCTATATTTTTCCTTCCCAAATTCTCCGTTTATGCAAATATCAAGTAAAATCCTCCCCCCAGTTCGCAAATTCAGGGTGCTATACACGCAAGAAAGAACGAAAAATACTTAAGTTAGAAAGAATTCGCCAACCTTTGATATACTTGAAATTGCGTATTTTTCAAATAATCGTTTTAAGTCGTTTTGCTCGTCGGAATCGTCTGTAGAACGCAAGCCTATAGGAAATATTCGATGATATCAAAACATTTATCTATTGTCTTTGTTTTACTTGCTCTTAAAAATAGGCGAGATTGACTATTATTCAGCTCTCTTAGATTTACAAAAATGTTTCTTTTTTACACCTGCATTCCTAACACTCCAGTTAATCGTTTTAAATTGACTATTATGTGAAGTGGTAAATTTGAAAAAAGAAGCCGCGTATCCACTTAACAATGATTAAAGCTGAAATCGAGCCAAGATAATTAAGAAAGTCTTTGTACGTGTCAAATACTAAGTGTGCACAACTTGCAGTTCACGTGTGCTGCTTGCGTAAGCTGATGATCTAAACAGCACACGTTAAGGCACTCTTTTACTTTTGTGTTGTTTAATAAATGATTACTGACTTCTGTTTTGTCCATTATATTTTTTGTTTGTTGTAACACCACGAAAACTGTAAAGCATCATTGTTTGTTATTGCAAACATTTTGGCATGAAAAAGCTCATACAGAAATATGCACAGTCAAAATAGTGATCTTTTATAGAATTTTCCCTGACGCGGAAATTGTACGAGATGAATTGAATGCAGCGTATGTTAGATTCTAAAGCCATTCATGTCTGCACACAATTTGATATTTGTTGACGAGCAAACACATATTAGAGAGTTTCAGCATGACGTTAACGCCAAATGGTATAAGTTTCAGGTTCAAATCGCAAGAAACCCCTTTAGTGCTAAAGCTTAATTGATTTACGGCCAGTATTCTCGATTTTTAATCAATCTTTTTGGGATGTACCAAACGATAAAATTCGCCCACGCCGGTTGGAGTCCACAATAACAATGATAAAATATTCTTTTGCATCAGATCTCCAACATGTCTCACGTAAAAAATATCAATTTAATTCATTTAATGAAACCTCCTGAGGTTCATGCTAAATTATATGTATTATTGAATGAAGAGTACAGCTAGTACGTGTGTTTAACCTTTTTTGACTGACTGTTATTTTACAATACATGAAGTAAAGCCAGCGCAATAATACGGATTCTTTACTCCATACTAAATTCAAATTTCGTCGATGAACGTCAACGGCGAAGCTCTGTATTCGTATTGTCATAACTAATGGACTAATAGTTCAAGTTTTTATAAAAAGAATGCGATTTTTGTACTAAAACCGAGTGCTGCAGTTGGTAAAACGGTTTGTTGTATCAGCTCGCTATATAAAGCTAAAATACACGATGAAAAAGTTCTAGATCGCCCAGGTTTATTCATTCGTTAATGATTCCAGCGAAGTGCGTTTTTTTTCAGAAAAAAGGGAAGTATTTCTTGGATAACAAAATGGAGTTATAGCTACTTATAGTTAAAGTTTGCTGCTTGTAAATGCTATGGCAAAAACGATCAACAATCTCTGCCCTAATCCGCCTGGACACTTGAAAATTCCAGCTAGTTTATACGAATTCCAATTTCCAAATTACAATTTACTTACCAAGTACAGTATTTGTGCTATAATTTTTTGTCTATATAATCTAAATTTACATATAACATTAGCATTCTCCTTTCTTTGCTATCATGTGTATTGTATTGTCCAGTATTGATCATAGCTAGCTAATTAATTGAATAATTTTATCAGGTTACGTTCCAGTATCACAAGTTATCTCAAATAGTCGATAAAATGATGAAATGACTTTGGCTTTTTTGAATCTCAAGGGCAAGGAATCAATCATTCAGGCGTGTTAAGCGTAGCTACTTGTGTTGCAATGAAGAACAAGTTCAAGTTAATTGCTCAGTTGACAAAAAGTATTCACTCCAATGTGTAGAGATGTGTTTTGGCATACAATCTTAATTTTGATTAACGTACTTTAATTGTTGTAAAATCGAGCGATTAGCGTTTATTTTAGACACATGATAGTCGTCATAGTCGCAATCCATGCAAGGAATATTTTATGATTTTCATGCTCTTAATTGTCTTTTAAACGAAAATAACTCAACAGAAACAAAAGGCACGGCTTTTTCCATATTTACTCGAGAATACTTTTAAATTTGATAATTGAGATTGAGTGTTTCTGTGTGAGCCGAACCCAATCGGAAGATGATTGAATGATACACTGCACTGCACGAGCTCAATGACATTTTACAAAAGAGCGTTGGCTGTAGCCTCTAAACGTCTAGAAACCTAGACGTTTCATAACGGGTAAAAAGAACTGTATACAAACGTTTCAATGTTGTCATTTAGTTATCCTAATATTTGTGTCTTGATTGAGCTTTAAGAATCTGAAAACTTATGAAGTTTTCACGGGTATGTCTCGCGAAGTCTTTTTAAAATATGTTTTCCCAAAACAAAAAGCGCTTTATTCATTAGTATTGTGCACATAAACGTCTACCATTGTCGTACACGTGTCAAAGCTCACTTAAATATGTGTTCATACGGTCTGTCTTTTAGGATCCGAAAAAATCGGATCATGTGAACAGGCCTTAAACATGATTAATTATTTAAAGATATTGCGATCATTATATGTCAAAAATTACATTTATAATGTATAAATAAAAAGCATAAGGAATTTTTGTGCTTTCTATCTGTTGCAAAATACGCAACTGATAAGAGTCTTTCTAGTTCTTTAAGAGAAATCGCCTTTAAAATTCGGTATTGCTTTTCCTTTTCTCGTTTTTCAAAACGAGATCAATTTTTAAATGATGTTTAATCAAGAAGTAGCTTTCAAAGACTTATCACCTGCCAGAAATTTGCAAGAATGTTCTATTTCGTGCATATTGAAGAAGAAAATAATTTCTTCGATTCACAACGTTCTAGATAACGATAAAAGATGAAAGAAAGAAATTTCAAAAAATACGAACGCCCCCTCATGCAGACATTCAATTTGAAATACATAAAGAAGTTTAAATGCGCATTTTCTGGCAATAAACGAGCTTTGATGTCTGCCGCGATAACCAAGCCACAATATAAATTCGTTTCGTTTGTTTGTCTGGTTATTGCTTTAAAAAACTGTACATGCGTTGTTTTCATGACAAACTTCCATGTGTAAATTCCTAAGGTCAACTTTTTTTTTTAAAACGAATACTCCAGAGTCCAGATACTTCAACAGATTGTTTTACCTCATAGGCTAATGTTAGCGAAAGATGAGAAGAGAGCTCTAATTAATTTTTCTAAAACAGCACTGTACATGTGTGTCGACGAGTTCAGCAAATCGCTCTCTAAGTCAATGCATGCAACTCGCAGGAATGGACAATTTTCGCCGAAACATTTCCCAGGTACATGACTGATTAATATTCCGTAAATTTCAAAAAACATTCCAACTTTATTCAGAAATTCTCTCCATCCTCTACTTAAACAAACAGAGAATTGCCACATCGTATCGTCGTGATAAAATTCGAAGTCCAGTGATGCCGACTAATTGAAACGTTTAACACGTCACCAAATGCGTTATTATAAATTGAAAGCAACGTCGGATTTAAATGGAAAATGACAAACGTGTTGTTGAACGCGTTCAAAGATAGTATCTTTAACACTTTAAAGTGCATGTAGCTTTTGTACATGATGAAGTGCTGTTTTCATCTTAAATACCGAAACGCTTCCTCGAACAGCATTAACATTCTAATATTGTTTTTGTTTTTTATTAAAACTTCTTACTTTAAATATATTAAAAAATTATTTCAGATCTTTGAGACGTAAGTCAAGTGCCTGATATATTATTTGATAAGATCTGACTCCAACCTTAAAAGTGACTTGTATACGGAAAAACAATTATACATTTTTGGCGTAAGAATTAACTTAAAAATCGTGAAGTGTTGACAACATAAAATAAATTTAGCTGCTTTAATAGTCATAATCAGCACAATGGATATTTTCGTAAACTCTAAGCTTTGATTGGAATTTTACTAAGAGCATTATTATACGTCAATTAGATTTCAAATTACGTCAAGGAATATTCTCAAAAGATCGCTATTCTTGATTGCAGACAGTCTTTGGAATTATTAATCAAAGTTTATGATTCGTAACATGTTTTCAGATGTAGATCGTCTAGGACACTAAAGTCCTGAGAACGACGGTTGGTGTTGATGTAGACTGACGTTTCGACATCCTTAGCGGTAGTGATCCTCAGAGTCAAGCGAGGAGTAAAGTTCAGGTTTGCCGTATTTGTTGTCTGATTCACACATCATCGTATTTTGTGTACAGGAAATGTGTGGGTGTTAATTGTGTATTGTCATATATACAGAAGCATACATGTCAGTATTTGAATTTGTAAAAGATTTCCCTGAATCAGTAGTTTTTATCAAGCTTTAGAAAAATACTATAAAACGAACAAGAATTCGATTCAGCAGTCGAAATCTGGTCGAAATCCGTTAAACCAATCACAATAAGACACCCCCGTCCGGCCACCCCCCTTATCAGTCGAGATCGTTCCAGATCGTCCACGGATCTGGCTATTGACCAATGGAATGGCTTAAATGAGCGTTCTTAAACTCCTTTATCCGTCAAACCAGTCGAGCCATACCGCTTATCAGTGTGTCAGTAAATATAATTCCAGACATGGTTAAAATTCACTGTCTTGTTTACCATAATGGTCTTGTTTACATAATTTTTTAGATATAAAACAGAATTGTTACAGTAAAATTCCAACGATAATAAATCGGGAATTTAACGATTACATAAAAATTGTAATCATTGAATTTGATCAGGATTTCTTATTTTGACTAATTGTGATAAAGTGTTTTTTCATAAATTAGCTACTTTAGCATTTTGACTCAGTAAGGGGACAAGCCTCACGAAAGTTTCAAAGACTTTGTAAAAACAAAACATTTCTGTTCATGTCTTATTCCAAGTGGAAAAAATTGTAAATGCATGTATTGTTTAGTGAGTGAACTTTAAATTGTTAATTATAAATAATTTTTACCCCCAAGCAGAAAGCTTAAAATATAAAAATTCATCTTTGTCAATATAAAAAAACTCATCATTCAAATTCATAAATTTATTTTTCATCTTAAAATTACATAGATCAAATTAGTTTTTGAAGTGTTTAAGGCATGTGCTCAACCAGCAAATTAACATTTGTCCATCTTTGTTGAACCCTCCATGTTCACAATCTATGAAAAGTAAATTCTTACAAGACCATTGACCAGATTCGATTTTCCAGATTCGATTATTACTTATTCTGCTGTATCGACAATTGTACACATTTAAAGCGTTTTCAAAGACGTGATTTTTTCAAAAAGTTCTAAAAACATATTTTTTGCATATTGGTAATATACAAACTTTGAAGTTGAGAAAATGCACTCTCGTGTTTTACAATACAAAGTTCAAAGATGCGAATTCATCGCTCCCGCTTAAAATACAATACTATCAGGATTTAAAGGAGATTCTGAGACTCTGTTTTAACTACATAAAATACGCAAAATGTGCGATTTTTTTAATAAAAGTTGGCAGTTTGCCAGAGCAACTGCCATTTAACATCGCAAATGTAACAAATAATATGAATTTTTTCGTATGATGTATAGCACAGACAAATTAGGGCAGTGGCGTAGCCAGTCCGCAAGTTTGGACGTGCTATGCAAATATTTCTGCGTTCACTCACTGTAAAAACAATAGATTTATAAGGCAATGAATAATGATGATGATCTGAAATTTACATAGCACGACCAAATTTGCAGGGTGCATGATAAGCCACTAAAGTGGGGTGATAAAAATGCTAGTAAAAAAAAACAAAAGTATATAAATGAAACAACATCATACTGCACATACAAATGAAATTCGTCCACAATCAAGGCAGTTAAAAATTATTTGCTTGTTTATTCAACTTTTGCATTTCAGTGAGTACATAATTGATGATTTGTTGAGTATGTATTTGTTAATGATTACAAAGTTTGGCTTCTTGATTCTGCTATATTGCTATAATGAGAGAAAGTCGACATATATATGTGTTGGCAACTTTTACAGAGGCTATGTGTGCTGTTTATATAGTAATTATTTATTTCCAAATCTTTGCATGCAAATTAAGAGGATGACGGTACACTTCAATTTAGCCAAAAAATTATTTTGCTCGTTTGTTAAATTTTTGCAGTTCAGTGAGTGCATATGTATGGATTTTTTATTGTCCGTACTATATGTTGCTATAATGACGTATGTAAGTGTTGCAAACTTTTTCCGTGGCAACGTTTGTTGTTTATATGGTAATTACTTATTTCCAAGTCTTTGCATGAAAATTAGAAGGATATTACATTACATATAAATTGAGCCATGTGACACGTACATCAAAATCAATGCGCCAATCATGATTTTTGCACTGGGCATTTTAGCTTGACCTATAAAAGACAAGAAAGCCAATTAAGGTTAAGCTGCTAAGTAACAGAGCAATGTTTCATTTCTAAAGATTAAATTAAATAATCCAATATTAAGCGTTGAACTTTCAATATTCTGAATGCATTGTAGACAACAGATCAGTTTAGATCTTTTATATTATCTGCCAATCGTGCCAATCATTTGGTACTTGAAAAGTAAAGAATTCCTTAAACTGTTTCCAAATAACAAAACGAATTTTTTTTCCAGGATATTGTTGTTTTTGCGCAGGAACCTGAAACTTCAGGCAATTACAATCTATAAGAATTTTCAGATTTAAATAATTGTTTCGAAGATTCAAGTCCAACTTTTATTAAAAGTTCAAAACAGTAAAGCATTTACCCAAACATTCGTGTGTTATAATTCAAACCTGAATTTTCTCCAACTTCATTTCTCGTGTTGTTTTTATTGTTTGACGCTGATGGTGCTGCTGTTGGTGGTGCTAACGTAAACGGACCGAATGAAACAGAATATGGATGATTAGATGCATCCTGCGGGGAAACTTCACGACGTGCTCTCACCGGACATGTTGTACTGCGTGAACAGATGGAGTTTTGCGTGTTTCTATTACACAATCTTAAGTCACAATGGATGTAGACAAGTGTATGGTTGAGCAGAAAACGGAAAACCTGCATGCTAAATCGATGAGTTGTTGCAAACCAAACGTAAGGTGATTGATCGATGAGTCCTTGTCGCAACTAAAATATGCGATGTTTAAAACATTTAAATTGAAATAACTCTTTAGTAAAGCCACGGTAGGTTGTGTAGCTGTCGGGAATATGTTTACATGAGCATGTCAGTTGCATGAGACACAAGAGTGTATATTTCTATCATGACAAGCTGATGTAACTGCTGTCTTGATATGTCTTGTTTCATGGAAAAATTCGTTATATTTTTACTTATTTGTATAACCAAATATTTTGAAACAAATTTAATCTTAAATGTGTGTATTTAAGTTGATACCATGACGAATAAAAAAAATTCTGACTTGAAGATAAAGACCTTTATGTTCATCCTTTGATTTAAGGAAAATACATCTATGCTTACCTGTCTTGGATAATTTGATACTGTGGTGTGTCGTATGCTTTGTTCGTTGGGGTGGCATGACATGACTCGGCCCTTACAACAATGTCGGAATTGGCTGTAATCACCCTGTACTGCACGTAAATACGATCCTGAAAACTTTTAAAAACTGGATATTGCTCAGAGCTTGACGACAAAAATTCAGCGTTGGCGAATGACCTAAGTTCGACAGTAAAGTTGCCGACACTGCCTGGAATAAAAGAGATTTTTTCACGAATTAATTTTTTTTAACTTAAGGCACATTGCTTATCATTGCTTTGAGAGAAGTATTTCAGTCAATACTTAAAGAGTAATCTATTTATTCGATTGCGTTATTCTTACTTTGGGTGATTTCGAGAACAGGATTTGGCGGCTGAAAATCCAAACCGCTTTTTCTGACCAAACGGTTATAAGCGCATCGAAAATTGATCTTAAGGGATTTTGTTCGAGTGATGACTGCACGTGGGGTAACTGGTGTTGTGGAAGTCAATGTATTGCTGAAAAATATTTCTTGGTTTGTTTCAGAATACTTAGTGCCACATCCATTGAGTGGAGTCGTGATGAACGCGTGAGTCTGGTTGTAGATTGCTGTGCAGCTCACGTCAATGAGATGGGTGCCGATTAAATTGTATTGCTGCGCAAAATTTTACCCAAATACCAATGCCATTGCATCTGTTCCACACAAGAGATAGAAGGAGTTTGCTACAAATAAAATCAGTGTAAGTCTTGCATGCAACAAGTAATTTAATTCTCTCTCATTGATGTAATATTCGGTTACATGCAACATGCAAATTTAGCGTTTTTTGTGAAAGCAGTCAAATTATTTTTAGCAAAATTTTTAGAAAAAGGACGAACACATTCGTAGTTGCGTTTTAAAAACATCACACTGCGTTACGTGTGTGAGAAACTTGGCGAGGTGAGAGAGTTGCCTTTCCAGATAATTCCTTTTAGAAAAAGTTAAGGCTCTATGAATTCGTTCGATTGTTTTAATCAGGCATCACACCAGCAAAATTGCTGTCAATCTTAAAATATTTCATGATACCCACCGTTGAAAATAGCCCAGGACATTTTTGTGGTCGTTGAAGTATGTGTTTCAGATATAATTAACATAAACACGGGATCTTTTTTTGAAGCCAGTGTATTCAATTGATATTCGTAAGCCCAAGGACCAAAGCCGACAAAGTAAATTATAACGCCGTTGTTTTTTAGTCTCTGTGCTTGATCAATATTGAAATATAAGTAGTCATCTACCAATACCACGAGTATTTTCTTTATACCTAAATTATCGAGTCACTAATTACGTATATTAAATAAGAAATACTTAATGGAATTGTCTTGGGTGCATTATTGAGTATTTTCTGAATAACATTAAAACGAATTTTTATATGGCATTTTACCTTCCTCACTAAGTTTACCTTGTGAGCTCCGAGCTCCACTTCTCTCTTGAAACATTTCATTGTAAGCGAAGTTCAATGGCCCTGAACCATACCACCAATAAGAATTATAAGAAGAAATTGAAGCATTATCAATAGCGGTATGCAGGTCTTGTTTGGTTGAGAAAGTTTGGTTAAAACTGATTGGGATCAAGAAATTCCACGTCCAGCCAGAAAGCTCATCATTGAAATGCGTGTATTGTTAGGAGAAACTACAAAGTGATCCAGGAGATCTTTTATGAATGATCTCGCTTTCAAATCGGCATGGTTCCAATTTGTAATTCACCACACAAATCTAAGATCTATGGGCTCCTGGCACGTTCTTGCATCTAAAATTTAAAAGAACAGTTCTCTATTTATTGAATATATTCTGTTTTTGCATTTTCTGTGATTGGTTGAAAGTTGTGCGCAGTTGTTGTTATGAAGCAGCGTCATTGTGCATTGGTTTGTTTTTGTAGAAAATTTTACATAAAAACATGTACTATATATTGACAAATTTGACGTATCTTTTTTGATCAAATGAATGATACAAATTCTAAGAAATATTTTGATTTATATGTGACCATTTTCTAATAACAAGTTATATAAGAACTATAATCAAATTCAATGCTATGGATAGCCAGCAGGCGTGACTTTCTACGAAGGAATCGTGACGTCTTAAAATGTAGCTATACGCCTAGTTAAAAGCAAGTAGCTAAACAGCATTGTAAAAATTGTCAGCATTTTGCCTCTTCATTTGCTATAGTATCTTTTTTTGGTTTTTTGATACCGATGAAATGTCTTTTTTGATCTGAGTTTTATCTTTAACTGACCAAATTTTCTTACCTTTAAAATACAGTGCGTGTAACGATATTATGCAAGCTGGTTTGCCTCGCGTTATTTCAAAATAAAAACTTGTAGCAATGTGACAGGTGTAACATAGGAGCATCACTCAATCTTGTAGATAGTTACAGAATTTTATGGTGAAAGATTTTTTCGCTGTTCATTAATTGAAGTATTTACATATTGCAGTGGGTAAAAGTAATCGAATGATTTAAATTGAGTTATGCAGGTAAACATAGAGGTTGAAATGCAATTTGGGAAGGAATACTGAACAAAATGGGCAGAAGTCGTTCTTTAAAATTGAAAATGAGAAATCAGAAATTGTGAAAATGTTAGCTGCAAAAGTTGAAACTGTGAACATTGCACAAAGGTTAAAACGAGACCGCAGAACTACAGAAAATTTGTTCATAGTAACAATGCACAAAGGAAGAGGAGGTCAGATGCAGGGAAATGAAAGACAACTTCAAGAGAAATGAGGAACCTTGAATATGCACAAGTTAAGAATCCACTGCCATCCAGTAAAACAATCTTCGAAGAAGCTGGCATCGATCATCCAAGCAGGAAAACCCACTGTAATATCCTCAATGACATTGCTAGAGTTACAAATTCAATTACACGCCCCCCACCCCTCCCCTTCTCTTTATCTGAGCAAAATCAGGCAAAACGAATGAAATGAGCCACAGATTACTTAAAATGTGACTCTTCAAAAGTAATCTTCACTGACGAATGCCGAGCAACACTGGATGGTCCAGATGGATTTAGCAAAGCATGGATTGGTCATTGTTCATCAGGGATGGATTGGTTCATCAAGGATGGATTTGTCATCAGATAAAAGATAGTAGCTATATGCCAAAACCAAGTCATAGTGTAAGATAGAAAAGTTGTTGTAGTTTTGCACAGATTGCCGAATACAGATGAATGATTTAACCAATTAGTAAATTCTTATAATATCATTTACTTAATTACAAAATACAGTACGTGTAACAATTAAAGAAATGTTTTGCAAGGAAGTCAGAATAAGCTTTACTATTCATCTTCACCCTTTCCTCGACCAAAAACGGTCCAATTAACATTTTTCTCAGATTCCTGCCCAAAGCATTATCCCTCCTCTTCTTTGCTGTATAGATTGAGAATCTATGCAGGAATCTGTGAAAAAATGTTAATTGGACCATTTTTGGTCGAGGAAAGGGTGAAGATGAATAGTAAAGCATATTCTGACTTCCTTGCAAAACATTTCTTTAATTGTTACACGTACTGTATTTTGTAATTAAGTAAATGATATTATAAGAATTTACTAATTGGTTAAATCATTCATCTGTATTCGGCAATCTGTGCAAAACTACAACAACTTTTCTATCTTACACTATGACTTGGTTTTGGCATATAGCTACTATCTTTTATCTGATGAAATTAACTGTTTGCGTATTATCGTTACACGCAGTGTAAATATGTGATTTAAAAAAGTTTATTGATGAAGGCACTTACTTGAATTCATACTTTGAGGCGAAGAACTTTGGCAATGATCTACTTTCTGCCATTTGTGAGACATGAAATGTGAAATTTCAATTATATTGTTTTGTTATTAGTTATTGCTCATGTCCACATTGCTTTAAAATCTCACATGACTTCCTAGTGACGTAGAACAGTGACGAAATAGAATTAGAAAATTAAACGAGACTTACCTGAAGTCGAAGTTTGGTTGAAATTCTATGAGTTACTGTTCAGGAACTAGGAAGTCGCCCACCCAACTACTAACTTACTTCTTTTCAAATGATGTTAAATACTACTTGAAGAAATTTATTCAGATTTAAACGGCCAGCCATGATGCTTAATTTAATTCAAAACAGAAGAGTTACGTACAAGTTATACACCTCTTTTTATGACACTGTTAATATGTACGACCACACATTATTTTATGTGGTGTCTTTTTTCAAATGTCTTTGAATTGTTGCGAAATAACTAAATATAGCTTCTATTTGAAATGTTTTTATTGTGTGCTTTCATCACAAAAAGTGTTTGGCGATGTTAGCTTCTTGCATGTACATGCTCCTTTGGAAAGCGCTTTCTAGTGAGACTGCCAAAGTATACATCATATTGCTGATACAAAGAATGCTTACCTAACAATTTATCTTTAATGTCCAATTTTTGCTTCCATTGTACTTTCGCCGTGATACTCTCAACTATATGGTTGTACAGGAGTAATGTAATTATAAAGAATAAAATTGCTTCATTTTTAAGTTAGTATAAAAAAAATTTATGGCTTGTGTTTCTGTATTAAAATAGAAATATTTTCACGCAAGGCGTCAATGACGTAGTTAAAATCGAGAGCATAACAATGCTTTCGGTAAGTACAAGAATATGTTAAAGGATAAGGTAAATTTTCTTCAGAAGTCTTCATTTTTAGTTGTAGCTACTTCTGTGAGAATTTTGATTATCAAACTTAATGTTTGAAGGCATATTAAGTAGCTAAGAGTTAAGAAATATTTTAGCCGATTCTGTAAGCACTATTGATTATTCTAGTCTTTAACGGTATTTTGGCCCGATCGACTCTTTAACTTTATATGATTACTTAAAGGGTGAAGATGATAGTATAATTTGAAAAACTTACGAATTGTCAGAATCCATAGACACAAAAGCAGAACACGAATCATCTGTGGAATTAATTAAATAAAGAAAATTATGTTCTCAGCTTGACAAACTATGAAAATTATATGGAAGCTCAGCTTTTATATTGTTATTGCAAAAAGACATGAACTACAATAAATAAATTAGAAAACGTTTTATGTGTTTCTATCCCGTAAACAAACCGGAAAGTTTTGGAGAAACAAGAAATTGCGTGGCGAGCACAAAGAGCGAGTTTTTTCTTTAAGAAAAAAGGAAATACGGGGTGTAACACCTAACCTACGAATTCGTGCGATTCGAGCATTCAACTAATCAGCTCCCGTGTTTTTAAAACGTTATTTTATAAATCTCAATGGCCTGTATTGTCTTGTTTGTAACTGTGAATGCCAAGTTTCTTTCAAGTTCTTCTACCGCTGTAGGACAGATAAACAGCATCAGAAAAAGTCGATTCGTCGTTAGTTTACTGATTCTCCGAAGTTACTCCTTGATGCTAACACGGCTGGTTTAGTCGGCATTCGTCGACTGGCAGTGTTTGATCAATCATTTGTGGCACGTTTCCATTTCGTTGTGTTAAGAACAGTTGTCATAAAGCAATGCTTGGAGCGTCAATTATTCGAGAAAAAGTCTCAATTTGTAGTTTTCACCCAAACATGTTAGCAGAAATACATTAGCAGCAAAAAACCTTTATATTTCAAGAAGATCAAATAGGTGTTGTGTTTACTAAACTAACTGTTGTATTCACTAGACTAAATTCAACTTAACCAAACATTACATATCTCAATGTAAATTCGAAAATTAGTTGTAAATCAATGAAATGTAGGCAACGATGTGAATGATAGAGTGCAATTATCAGCTTACCTTGAAATACGAATGTTGAAAATAGACTCTTCTACAATGTTTGTTTGATTTCAAACGTCTCTTTTGTCTTGCTTGTAAATGGTGGCAGATACAGCGTTGGTCAATTAAAGTAATTTATAACTGTAATTTAAAATTCAAACTACCTTCAGAACAATATTATCAGTTTTTCCCACACCCTGGGTTAGAAGACGCCACATCAGACATAAGGTTGCTGTTTATCGATCATGGTTGAATGAAAGAATGAGGAAGCACAAAATATTGCGCATGTTTGTACATTGCCAGAATGTTCTCGCTGCTCAACATAAACAACATTTAAAAATAGCATTGAGTGGATTCTTGGAAAACAAGCAACAAGATTTTCTATAATTTTGAAAATTCAGATCTCCTAAACGGCTAGAAAAGACCATTTATAGTTGATTAGCTTTACTTTTTTGATAGCATTGTTCACTTGTACAGGTTATAAATTTTGTTGAGCGGCTTAATTTGTTGCTACGACCTAAGTGTTTGGTCATGTTTGTAGCTCTAAAACGCACAAGATGGCAACTAATACGAAAATTGTTCATTTTGAAAAATCAATTGGATACAAATTTCATCCATGTATCCATGACCTTATTTCAGTATTCTTAGGGGCTAATTACATGAGCCTGGGTAGCCGGGGTTCCAGAAAAAGATCCAGGTATCCAGGAAATATTAGGTTGCAATATTCAGAAAGAAATAATAATATTTACAGTAGAAAATCTTAAAAAATCGAAATTTCAGTTTGTTTAAAATGCGCATTTTTGCAGTTTGATGCATCGGACATTTAAAAATGGCGTCAAAGAAGCAATATATATTTCTATGAGCGTGGATTTGCTGTGTTTACAAGCAAAGTCTTATGACTACGCTTTGTCTTGGCAAATGTCTGAAGAATTATGAAATGAATCAATCGTTAAATGTTGAAAGGCATTTTGTTCTGTTCGTTATAACATTTCAATGATGAAAAGGATAAAGTTAGTGAGATTATTAAGTTGAAAAGTGAATTACGTTGAGCATTTATGGTTATAAGAGGTTATTAAGAGGTTATTACGTTGAGCATATACACAGTATCGCAAATATTAAGCAATCATTACATCAGTTGTTTTCCAAGCCGTCATTACCATAAGATGGAACGTGAGGCGCGGGCTTGGTGGCGTTATCAGGAGATCTCTTTGTGCGTCTACTTAAGTAAAGGAAAAGGAAGATGATTGTTGCCAGTACGATAACCATTACAATAACACCAACCAAGATGAAAATTATCATCTTGTTATCGTCGTCGTTGCCTATAACGAGGATAAATGAGCATTTATGGTCGAGCATTGCTGACTTTGCGTTCGTCAAAATTTGCCCGACTGTATTTCAAACCATTTATTTTACTTCATGTAATAATGATCAACAAACAAAACTTTATCAAATCATCTCATCTTATCTCAAATATTTCTGTCCATTCTGTTGAAAACATTGTATTTTATAAATGGTAATAAAAGAAATCACAAATCAAGATTTAGTTCTTTTCCTGGTTTGTTTTCTTACAAACAAACTCTGTACTTGCTCGACAAAATTCCTAATTACAAAACCCAATATGGAAAAGCATTGGTATTCTCGCCATTCAACCATGGAAGATTAAAAGTCATTTTAAATTTTTTTTCCTAGCATGGCAATATTAAGCAACCATTGTGAAGTTAATTTGAATCTCGTAGCATGCTACTTTTCGCGTGTAACATATCATCAACAACGGACGACGTTCTGTGGATTTTCCAGTCTGTTGTAGATCATATATGATGCTACTTGGTGAATGTATTCAAAATAACTATTTATATAATAACCAGAAGAATTTGAGCAATTTCATTGGTCGAGAGCTATGATCTATTAGAGGACATACGCACGGAATTGACGTCACAGAAAATTTTATATTTGTAAAAATTAACAAATTGGTGGTAAAGATATTAACAATGACCTAGTTGAGGCAGTTAACGTATTTGAGTAAAAAGAAAAGAAAAAACCCGATTTTCAAACATTGATTTGTACTTCGTCTTCGATAACAAAATTCAACAAAATTGATCAGCCGTTGTTTGTTTATTTTGTTAGCCAATCACATTTTATCAAGTGATTAAGCTAGCCAATAGCGTTTCTTCAATCCTATAGATCACGTAAGCGTGATATATGCAAATCAAGACTTTTCAATATTCCAAGTATTGAGGGACAAAGAAACAAATTTTTTGACTCGCTCCAGTGGCTCGTGGCCAATTTTAGTTTTTATCACAATTGACGTCATACCCGTGTACCTATAACTGTATAGACAACGGTTGGGTGTTATCTATTTATTAAATTTATATCAAAAAAAACTTATGCCAACCTTTGCATCCGTTATTGGAGACGGCATTAGGGGAAACTGTCGGCTCTTTTTGCAATGTAAATGGTCCAACGGATACAGGAAAGGAACGGTTGATGTCTACATTTTGTTCAACGTTGCGACGTTTCCTCGGAAGATCTGTGCACGGCGCATTGCGCGCGCAAACGGAATTGGGATCATTCTTATCACACAATCGTATGTCACAATGAATGTAGACCAATGTGTGGTTTGTAAGGAAGCGGAAAACTTGCATACTGAATTGATGGAGTTTCCTTAGGCCACTTGTGTGATGGGTTATTGTTGAGTCCTTGTCACAACTATAAACAAAGTCTCTGCATTGAATACGAAGATTTGTCTATGTATATTTTTACTGAACTAAGTCTCTTTTAGTGCAACACATATAACTTATTAAGGGGTAGGAAAGAAGTGTTAGAAAGCTTAATACTGAGCATTCGTGTTGTGCTTGAATGACTCTTGTTTATAAAAAAATCAGTAAGCCATCAATTTGCTATAAAGAGCGTGAAAGTTCTTCACATAAACCTATAAATTACTTTTCATTTTGCAAAGAATTTAACAGCAAATAAAAGGTTACTTATCAGTAAGTGGATAGTTTATGTCTCCATAAGCTTACCTGTCCTTAATGATCTGATACTGAGGTTGATTGTACGCTTTGTTGGTCGGTGTAGCATGACATGATTCTGCACGTACAACAATGTTGGAGTTTGCCGTGTCGATGCTGTACTGTATATAAATACGATCGCGAATGCTTTTGAATACTGGATACTGGTCAGAGCTTGAAGATGAGAAATCATTGTTGGAAAAAGAACCAAGCTCAAGCACAAAATCCCCACTGGCACCTGCAAAGTACGTGTATTTTTAGGTTAGATGTTTAAGTGACATTAGTGACAGTTGTAGGACATAGCTGGCTAGGAGAATAAATAATTTTGGGCAATGAAAAATAATTCAAAGCGGAGACAATATCACTCTTTGGAAGGAGAACATGCAACGTTATCTATACAGTTTTTTTATTTTAGACCATTCGAAATGAATTAAATATCGTCTCGTCTCTACAAAAAAAATTGTGGAATTATGAATCATAATTTTTCCAACAAACACGTTGTCTTTAACACATTGAAGCTTGTAGCTATGTTTACAGCTGCCTTTAGAGGAATCCTCCTAAAAAATTGGAGTTGGCAAGATTGCAGTTGTTAACATCCAAACTCCTTGAAGGAACTACTATTTCTACTATTTTTCAAGCAGTTACTATATTTCTAGGCATTTTCTTACGATGCCATTCAGTGTAATTATTGTTTGCAAAAGTAGAACTTTAAACTTTTACATCCGATTTTTTTTATTCCTTGCCATATTTAGAAAAAGTACCGAACCCACTTTAGAGACAAAGTGTTTTAATCCCGTGAATTATCGAAAATACCTTTTTAAAAAACTCACCAAATGCTTGTCTTGTAAAAGAATAATGGGAAAAGTAAATGGTTGATTTATCATTAATTTGATGATTAGACAAAAGTCAGATCTATATCAGTTTCTCCAATTCTGGATGTCAAAATTGTTTTTAAAAACAACATAGAGGTCAAATTTAAAGATTTTATTACCTTCATTGATCACCACGACAGGACTTGGAGGCTGAAATTTCACACCGCTGACACTGATAAGACGATCGTAGGTACAAGTGAAGGTGAAATTAAGCTTTTGCGACCTGGTTATGACGCTACCACGGCTAGGTCTCAGTGGTACAGACAGGTTGTTGGTAAAAAACATTTCTTGTGTTGTTTGTGTGAAGAGAGTTCCGCATCCTGATAGTGGTGCTGTGACAAACACGTGGGTTGCGTTGTAGCTGGCCTTGCAGATACCGTCATTGAGCACCATATTGTCAAGGTCCAAGGTTTGGACAAGTGTTAAAGAGAACGTCAGCGTCATATTATTTTGTCCGCAAGTGAGATAGTAGGAGTTTGCTGTAAAACAATAATCACGCTGGCAATTGACCTGACACTTGCAGCAAAATCTTAATATGGTTATGGACAACCACATGTGAAATTCGTTGGCTCTTAGTTCATTGTTTAAGTGTAGGGTATCGGCTCTAACTTAAATAATTTTATTAATAGAGTACGGGTATATATTTTGCGTTCATTTAAGTGTCAAAAAGTTCATTTAAGTGCATAAAAGATAGAATTTTCTTTCAGCTCCATCTATCATATGTGTTTTTTTTGAAAAATCTATCGTATTTGTGAAAGACGTTTATAAGCGTCAAAAGGCGTAAAAAAGTGAACACAATGTGGTTGGGCAACGGAAATCTGCAAAGACTTAATTTTGAAAAGTTCAGTTTTTTCTTTACGCTATGTTTTTTGTCTATCCAGCCGTTTGTTTTGTGATAGTCATGCAGACAGGCTTTTCACTTTATTTCTCGATCACTGTCAATTTTGCTTAAGTAGGTACAGTAAAACAAAACATTGTGTCTTTTCCTTGTCCTTGAAATCTTTGCGGTTGCTCTAATTCTTCGACATTATAGTTAAGTGGGAATGCAGAGATTTCGAAATGCTACATTCGAATGCTATATCCTGATAAAGATAAGGTTTTAGGTTTTTTGCATACAAACCGTTACAAGCTTTGGTGGCAATTTCTTGTGCTTTTGAGAGAAGCGCTTCGACAGAATTATTGAGCAAGTACATGTGATCATTTTTTGGAAGTGACGCCATCCAATGAATTTTACGCGTAGAGAGTGAAGAGCCTACTCCTATTACGTGAATAACGACACCGTCATTTCTTAGATTTTGAGCTGGTTGAATGACGCTGTCGATGCTAAGTCCGTCAGTTATTACTAGCAACACTTTCTTTGCACCTAAAATGAAGACAAAAAATTAACTATTGTTCTCAATAAATCCACCATTGGATTATGCTGCATGGTGTGCCCTTTAGTCTCGCTGTAAGGCTAAAGTAAGGAGTAATTACTAATACACGATAATGAGATCAGTGTTCAAGAGGAGGGGGTAAAAGTCAATCAACACACTTAGAGATAAAAAGCGTATTTAGAAAGAGCCAATTGTAAACCATGTGCTACTGTTGGTCATTGAAGAACGTACCGAGAGACGTTCGTGCTCCATTGCTCGCTTGAAACATTTCATCGCGTGCTTTGCTCAGTGCGGCACCCAAGTAGCTGCTGCCACCTCTATAGTCAATGCCTCTCACGGTTCTTTCAAGTTCTAAATGATCGTCAAACGACCGATGGAAGGGAATTTCCATGAAAGGTGACGTCGACGATTTTATCACAGAAATGCGAGTTTTATCCGGATTGATGACAAAGTTACCGAAAAATTCGGCCGTAAATGATTTGAACGCTCTGAAGTTAGATTCTCCGATGCTGGATGAACCATCAATAATGACACCTAGATCGACCAGTTTCTCGCATGATCCTGGGTTTGGAAAAGGAAAAAGAATTTATATTTATTGATCCATTTGTAACGTTTTTCCCAGTAATATAACAACAAATACTCCATGCGATAGCAAAAAGCTTCGCAAGTTGCAAATTTAAAATTTTTAGTTGAATGGGCAATACGAATATGAAGCAGTTTTCGGGGTGGATCCAAGTATTTTTAAAACTTTTTATGTTGCCATGGCCATCTCCCAGGACAAGAACACGAGCTTTTACTAACAATGATTAACATATAAGTTTTCACCATTCACATCACTGGCACTGGTTGATATATACTTTGTATCTTAAGCTTGCTTGGCATTTAAATTAAGTAATATATCCAGAAGCTACGGTGGCTCACAAGGGCCACCACACAAAATAAAAATATTAATACACACACAAAATAAAAATACACACACAAAATACATTATACACACACAAAATAAAAATACACACACAAAATAAAAATACACACACAAAATAAAAATACACACAAAATAAAAATACACACACAAAATATGATTGCGGGCGCTTGCAGTGTCGGATGGTCTGACTATCATATTATCAGTTTGTAATCAGATATGTGTAATTCACTAATTGTGATTTTAACATTTGGTCAACTTGTCGTCGTATTTAACTGTTTCAACTGCGAAACATTTGAAATTACATTTGGAAAGGAATCGAAAGCTAGCTCTTGCGTAATCCTGGCATAATTATGTTTTGTGCCAACTGTGGTGCACAATCACTTGACAAAGCTTCTTTTTGTCACAAATGCGGTGTGCGTTTGGGAAGATTAACTTCTTTGCCAAAATGTTCTGAAGCGTCAATGACGAGTAGCGTCTCTTCAAGCAGTTGCCCTTCGAGCTCTGCAAGTCCGTTAACTTCAACTTCAAGTACCCCAAAGCTGTTTATAACTGGTACAGAACAGGCTAGACCAATAATGTCCTTTTAAAGGACAACACATTAACCTTAATTTTAACCAAAATACGGGGAGCAATATCGTAAGCAACTTTGAAATAATTGATCACAGTGAAATCAGTGAATTTTGTTATGTACTCTGGAAGTTGGAACCATTAGAACTTTGAAAACAAAAGCGATCAATTACGAGCAATTCCGAGTAAGCCGACACTGCAAGCGCCCGCAATCATATTTTGTGTGTGTATTTTTATTTTGCGTGTGTATTTTTATTTTGTGTGTGTATAATCTATTTTGCGTGTGTATTTTTATTTTGTGTGTGTATTTTTATTTTGTGTGTGTATAATGTATTTTGTTGTGTATTTTTATTTTGTGTGTGTATTAATATTTTTATTTTGTGTGGTGGCCCTTGTGAGCCACCGTAAGAAGCGGATGGAAAGCAAGAAAAGCGAATTTTTCAAACTTGTGCGAGGCGTTCATTATTGAATGCAGTGAAAAATATCTAAAATTACTTACTTCGAGCTATAGCTCTCTTTCTTCGCTCATTTATGAAGTTGTTTGCGTCTAAAAGGAAAAGTATTATTCAGATATCTTTGTTTGTGACGAATGAACAACGTCACGAATGCCGTATCAACAATCATGATATTTCTATACTTAGGTCATACATAGCGTTTTATTACAGTATAAAGTTTGTCCAAGTTTGTCTTTTTCTATGCTTCACTTTCTAGTGGTTATTTACAGTGGCGTATCCAGTGTACGTCAAAATGAATTATAGCTCCTCTATTTTAAATTCAAATTACAATAAAAAAACACTATTGGTTCTTAATTTCTGAAGAATATAATTTTACCAATGAATTTGCCTGTAAAGTGTTTAATAATGTAAATATATAAAGTAAATGGTTTGAACCCGGGAATATCGTTACATGTTTGTAAATGATGATCGTCCAGGTTGGTATAGTCCTGAGAAGGACTGTTTTTGTTGTTGTTGACTGACGTTTCGACAACCTTAGCAGTAGTCATCTTCAGAGTCAAATGAGGAGTAAACGTCAGGTTAGCCGTATTTGTTATCTGGTTCTTACGTCATTGTGTTGTGTGTACAGGAAATGTGTATTGTCATTGTGAATTAGTGTGAAGTGAAATATTTTATCTTTAGTTGTGTTGTGTGATTTAGGTGTGATGTTTTTAGTTGTAATGTGTGGGTGTCAATTGTGTATTGTCATTGTGAATTAGTGTGAAGTGTAATGTTTTTAGTTGATCGTTTGTTTGTATTGTGAATAAGTCGTTTGTAAGGTGCCGGTAATTGCTGGGATCTGTTCAGGGGGGCTTGTTCCAAGTTGGTATACCAACTTTCTAATGCATTTTGCCGAGTCCCAGTCAATGTTGTGCTTTGTGATTCGGTGATGTTCGGCAATATGATTACCTTTTGTCTTGTTTCTTAGTATGTAAATATATGCCAAAATAAGCTGTAGTAATTTATTTTGACGTACTCTACATCTGCCACTGGTTATTTAGACCAATATACTTTATGGATTAATTATCTGCTCATTGCTAATGAATATAACAGATATTTCATAAAGGACACGATCAAATCGTATTTTGCATTGTTGCAAAATATAACATGATAAATTTTAATTTGTTCACTCACTTAAGAATTTCTCTTTCCATGGAGAAGACAAAATACTCTTCTTTGTCCATGGCTTATTGAACATGATAGCGGGACTAGGTTAACATCAAGATTGTAAGCAAACATTTCTAGTATGTACCTATGAATGCTTTTAAAAATTTTCTATGTGTGAAGTTATGAGCTTACCGAACGCCAAAATCCAAAGACAGGAAAGCACGCACCGAATCATCTGTGAAAGAGAATTAAGAAATGCATGCATCTATAACTTGTAATACAATTATAGCACAAACTACAGAAAAAACGTTTTCAGAAAATGACATACTGAATTAGACCTAGTCTAGGAGACAGGTACTGAGCTTTAAGCAACGTGAACGGACTGAAAAGGAGTAATCCTGAATATATTTTCTTTTTAATACTCTAAGTGATTATCTCCCGTGTTCTAAAGGCTCGCTCACACTCATACTCAATAAGTGGACACGCATTCTCAATGAGTGCAAGTAAACACTCAATGAGAGCTCACTCACACTTGCATTGTAAAATTCTACACTCATCTGCACTCATACTCCAACCATTCAAAGACGCCAATCACTCTCCAGTAAAGCTGAGAGTTTGAGTGAAGTGAGAGTGAAAGTTATACGTCCATTCAGCAGCACTTAACTATATCAATCAAACAAAGATGGCGGATCGATGGCTAAAACGATTAGAATGCTTGAATAATATCATGCCAAACAACAGGAAGAGACGAAAATCACATGCCAGTTTTTCACCAATGGATGAATTAAAAGCTGAACTTTGTTAGGTAACTAGTAACTAGTAATTTTTGAGAATTTGAATTTATTTATTTCTTTGCCTATTGGTGAAAATAGCTTTGAAGTTTATTGGACCTGATGAAAAGCCTTCTAAAGTCCAAAGTACGATATTTGATGATTGGCAATATAAACGTTTGCTGTAAGCCCAACAAGGAAAGGCTAAATTTTCTACATGGTATATATGGTAGCTTATATAAAGCTCACACTTTAGTAACACCATGTCAATAATTTTTCGATTTTCAATTTGGTCAAACAGGGATTAAGCTTCGTGATATTTTATCCCGAAAATGTGAAAATTACTATAATCTATTTGGTAATTGTTTGTTTTCATATCTTATGTGACTAATTAAAATCATTAAAAATAATAAATTATTAATAATGAAAAATGAAATTGCTTCTAGATAATATTTCACTTGAGGCTATTTAATTCTAAGCTCTAATTGGTTCATATATCAACATTTTTCAGCTTTCATGATATTTTTAGTACAAAGGGCTTTAATTATATACGTGACGCTTATGTTTCACTCCATATACTGTTTAGTGTACTCGCTGTCAACACTTTCTAAGTTCTTAAGATGTATTTTCGCGCAAGCAAATTTATGTTCTCAAATTTTTGTTCAACCTTCGTCATACTAGCACCGCTTTATGAAAAGATGTTCCCACATTACAATCATGGCGAGAACAAGTAGAGAAGAAAAAAGTGTAAACACCAAGCCTCGATGTGCGAGCCCGCGATGATTGAACGTCTAGTTTTATATCATGAATCTTTAAGGCGTAGTTTTAAAACGTTTCATTTTTGTTGACTTTTGTTTGAGGATCTAGAGTAAGTTTGAATGCGTAGCAATAAATGTTAATTAAAATCCAAAATATACTTTGCGTACCAATTGATAAAATTATGGATCAGAAAATCATTCAGAGGTTTCTAATGTATACCAAGTTGAACAACGTATTTTGAATTCAAATGATCATGTATTTTCACTTACCTTGAATTGGCATTAAGTGTGTGTTAGTAAATTGTTTAACAGTTGTGCAAATGTTCTTGTGGTGTGAGTGCTTTTGATGTCAAACAAATATCTGCTTTTTAAATAAAAAATAAAGCACGTCCATTTTCTTTTGCTACTTTTTTAAGAAGTCAACGCATTAGAGGTATTTAGAACCATTGATCGTCTCTAAATTCACGCACGAGTTCTTTCTACTTTTACAAGAGTCTTTGAATTGATGCTGTGTCAACAGAAATATTTGCTTAAGAATTTGATGACGTTGATTGGTTAGAGGGCTATCTGACAAACTGCAAATGCAAAAACTGATTACCTTAAATAAATTTCACCCCTAAAACTATTTCTTTGCACTAAATTGCTCTCCTCCACCTAACGCCGCCTGATGGCTATGTTAGTGTATTAGTTCAACTAAAACGCAGTGGTATAAAACAATTGTGGTAGCAAGATTTACCTTCACAATGAATACATTAATAAGTAGCGCTCGTTTTATAACTGTTGTCGCTACACACTCAGCAAGTCCTTATTTAACTTGGTTAGGCATTTGAAATTTTTTTGTTTTTGGTCGAAGGGTATGTATGTGGTTTTTAAGGGAAACTGCTTTTAAAACTGCTTTAATGCCGCTAGTTACAATTTTTTTTACTGCTTAAGTTCGAAAAAATTCCAGAGCCAAAAGTTTGAAGAATGTCTGATGGGCCTTAAATATAAATGCAGAAAGAGGAAAAAATGTTTTCTGCTTGGAACTTGAATAAACACATGCATTCTATTGCAACAAATTTTTGTCGACAATATTGTGGATGTTCACGGTTCAAACTTCTTCAAAAATCGATCCTCAAGCCTCTTCAAAGCTACATTGGACATGCCATCCATAAGTTGAAAACAAAATTAGTAGACTTACTTTTCAAAATATTTGTACGACTTCACTTGTGCTCTGCTACGTCTTCTGCTCTTCGGTGCAATGACTCCAATGATCAAGCAGTTCTGATCAAGGCTTACTTATCAACGAACCCTTTTGTCTTTGTAATTTATTTATAAAGATAATTGCCATTGGTGCGTGCACAACTGTTTAGAAAGCGGTGCTTTTTTTATTATAGCGACACGACGTTTTTAAATCTCAAGGCAAGCTTATAATCTTTTTCAATGACTACTGGATCAAAAGTCATGATAGTTCAAAATGTATTTTTGTTAAAGGAGCAAAAATTTGGTGTTTTTTCATTCGTATAAGATTTGATTTATCGGTCTTTTAGCTAATGAGGATTTCAAAGAATGTATTTATTAAACGTGTGCATGTTACAAAAAGAAAGGACTGTTGATAATTATCACACAAGAAGTGAGTTTAATGCGAAAATTCATGCGACGATGTAAAACGTACCAAGCTTAGTTCTTCTTGCAATTAAAAGTTATCTTATTCGTGTCAAATGTTGCCTTTATACTTAATTCGCCTATAATTGTAGCTACTGTTTTCACATATTTTCGGTATGCTTCTTGTCATGTGATGTAGCTAATCCAACGCTGTCGGTGGTGAGTATTTTCTTAATGGCAACGATTGAGAAAAAATAAAACGCTCATCAACTTTTAAAGAAATTTTCAAAAGCGTATATTTATTGAGATTGGATTGTATTCTTTGAAAATAAAATTAAAGATGATTGAAAGAATGAAGCAACAACGATTCATATTATTAATCCTTTTGTGCTCTTTTTGTTACAGGAAATTTAAATTTCTATCGTCTGAACTCTAAAAACGAAATTATTATTGTAGAATTTACATTGCTTTGATGCAAAGTAATATTTTTACGACAACCTATTTTACAGATGCTCGAAAAATTGCTTTCTTGTTATAGCTTAGCTATTTATCACAAAAATAGACGTAAAGGCTTCTTTAGCTTCTTTCATCTTTGAATTATTGTGATTATCCGAATCGTTGACATGTTGATAAGAAGAGGGAACAACAGTCTCAGTGTTTGTTTGTGCATGTAGATCTTGACAAATCTTGCCTATATTAAACATATCTAGACACTTATAGTATGAGTAACGAATTTTAATCTTTTAAAGACAGAATATAGCATATACAATATCGCTGTTATAATGATATGACCTTTATCATTGGCTCATGCAGGTAAGATCGTTTTGGCAATAATAAATAGATCTTCAATCACGTAAACGGAAATCAGACAATCGGTCATGAGCTTTAAATTGTATTCACCTTTATTACTTAGAAGTAGAAACTTGATCACATTTGTTAACGCATACAAAATTTACTTTGCCCATACTTTAGCGTTCGTTGCCTTGTTGTTTTTTATAGTTTTTTTAGTTTTGGATTTGAAATTTTTAGTACGTATGTCCCAATTTTTAGTACGTATGTTTAAGTGAACTGCGCCTTTCAATCAAGCAACGGGAAAGAAAGCAAATTTACTAAAATACATAGGCTGCAATGTATTTTAGATCAAACTGCATGACTCGAGGTTGTGTTAGTTTTGAATATGGCGTAATAAGCAATTACAAAAAAATTGATAATCATCTCTTTGTTTTTGCATTCCAAGTTGATGTTTTTGATCTTATCGCTTACCATGATTCGTGACTAAAGAAAGACTATTTTGAGTCTGTTTTTAAAATCCACGAATCCTTTACATTTTTTATGCTAATTAACAAAGCAATTATATTTTCGTTTTTCCAAATCTATGAATAACAGAACTTACCTTCAATGTGATTAATGTATGCCTGCAGCTCACCTTTGTATTTCGGCAAATACGAATTTATTGCTACACTCTTCTTGCTTTGCAATTGTAAGTAAAATTTTGTTTCGTCATTGATCAATGGGGCTTTCAGTTTTAATTTTCATAATTGCATCGTTTTGACATACTTGAACGAAAATTCCCTTATTTGAAGAAACCTTTATCTAAAGAATAAGTGTTCCTGTTTCTTTTCTTTTTTAGTGAGTTATTTAAAATTATATTTAAAGATTAATGATATTTTATGATAGCGAGGGAAGCGAACACTATCAATACAAATACACAAAGTAACTTTTATATAGTGCAAAATACATGCATTTACAGTAAATACTTCAAAAAAAAGTATTCAATGACAGCCATCCATTTGGACTTTCATTTCTCGAGTCGAGTTCTGGGCTCTAACGCAACATATTTCTGAAATGACATTTTCCAATTGAGAATTAGCTTTCATGTTATATCTTCAGGGTGAATTGCTCTGTATCTAACAAAGAACTTTAGAAGTAGGACGTTTGCTTTTCTCCTATCAACAGCCGAAATATATGTCTGCTTGATTAAAAGCAATATGTTGTTCAGTGATTTGCTATTAGCGAGAGTTTCAGTTGTTCACCTGGTTCAAAAGTCATCTTTAAGAACTGTTATTTACTTTTGCGTGGTGTAGTATTTTGTAATATGCTTTGTATTCATTCAAAATTGCATGATGAAAGTTTTTTGAAAACAAAATAGTAGTGAAGCGAATATTCCATTTTGCCTTAAAAAAGTCGTGTTGTTTTTAATCAGTTGGTTTAGTTTTGGATGAATTCATAGGTGCTTTGCAAGTTTCAAATTAAAGTGTTATCTAAAGAGGAATACTTGAACTTTGGATGATCATTTTGTTTTAATGAAGTAATTTTTGTTTAAATAGGTGAAAATAATACAATTAAGAAATTTAAATTTGAAGGCTTTGTTGAAGACAAGGGATATTTCATCCCATAACACACGCAAACATCCAAAAGTTATGTAATTTTGAAAAAAATGCAAACATTGAAATAATAAAATCACCAGCGATATAACAATCAAATTAGTTTACAGCGAAACACATGGTATATTGTTTTTACTGCCTTGGTGTTTTACTTTCCGTTTAGTAAAAAGAATTTATGTTAATTTCAATGCACTGCTGAGCATCGGTACTTTGATGCACTCCCCCAACATGGTCTCTTTGACGTCGCATGCAAACCCTCTATGGAGTGATCACTTGTTGTATCTCTTTCATCGAAATTCATTCTTGTCTTAATTTAGCTACTCTATTTTTGCGGATGCATTTAGTTGAGGGTTCTGAAATTATAATACTTGAAAGTATAAAACATTGGAGCTCGGTTGTCTAAAATCTAAATCTTTCGAAAGCAGTATTTAGCAACTTAGAAGAACTGCAAAGAAGTGACTTAAAACAAAATATATAATGTAAATGCATGACGAAGCATCAAACAAGCTATAAATTGAGTATAAACAAATAAGCATTGTCGAAAAACAACGGTGATTTTGAAATTCGAATGATCTCATTGCTACTAATTTGAACGAATAAATACACTACAAATCAATGTCGGTTCCAATTTTTTTCAGTTTGATAAAACTATTATCATTCTTTCCGTTTAAGAATTCACCAATATGATTATATTGATGAATTCTTACTGTTCGATTTAGAACAAGGCAGAATCAAAAATTGAAAAGTCTATGTCTTTTAAACTGATGAAGTGTATAGATTCACTTTATTGGCTTTTTTCAATCTCCTTATGATACACATTGACTAGCAGTCAATTATAAATATATTTTGAACGTCTTATATACATGTTTTTTAGCCTAAACATGCAATAGAAAAGTGGTGGGCTATTCATGGAACTCGAATACAAACTGACAGAATTATTTTAGTCGAAATATTTATTGTATTGACACAAATCATAGTTAATGAGAACAATTAAAATAGTCTACTTGAGATGAAAGAAAAATAAAGAGATCAGTGTCATTTCTTTGTTCTTAGTAATTATGCCTTAAAGTGCCTTTATCACCCTGAGGGAAATAATCTCTTTAGATAGAGTTGACCATTTTAAGAACATTTGCACCATATTTCATAACACGAAAATTTGATCTTATTGCCTAAAAGTTGGCTTTTTCGTGTTTGACCGTTAGGTGCTGTGACTGGGTCTAGTTCACCGGACGTGACATTTATTAAAGTTGAGTTATGTTGCACACTTTGTTATTGAATCACACTGTAATTCTATCGCAGCGTGTTTTCCAACGTACGTCACGTCGGTGAACTAGACCCAATGACTAGAACTAGAACTAGAAAACAATACAATTTTAAAAAGCAAAACCAAGCATTCTTTTCATCGTAGCATTGTTTAAAAAAACCTTTATCATGGAATATCTCAGTATATAAGCACAACAGAGCATTCTTATATACAAACACAGAAGAGCATCCTTATATATTGGCATCCTTCAAATTCTATTTATATTTATAAAAACAAACCACACAATAACACAACAGTACAGGCATCTTATAGCCCTATTAGCAAGACATAAACTAATATTAGAGAGATTTAGCAAACAGGACGTATCGTCTAAGAAGTCGTGAAAATGGTGTAAAAATGGCGTGATACTCCCATATATGATTGGATCCACGCCATTTTCTTAGACGCGTCTTAGACGATACGTCGTGTTTGCTAAATTTCTCTATTAACTGGGTTGAACCCGGGCTAATTTATGTCGTCTGAATAGGGCTTGAAATAGTCTCGCGAAATATAAACTTTTAGAATAAACATATACAGAGTGTTTTCATCAATAGCCATGTCGGGGTAAAATCGCATGTTATGAAAAGAGTTTATGTTAATTTAACGTTCTGTTGAGAATCCGCACATCGATACTATCTCAACATGGCCGCTTTGACGTCACATGCACTCTATTGACGTAATCCCGACTTGTAATAGACAAAAAGGAATCTTTGTAGCAACTAAGGGCTGATTACATGAGCTCGGTAGCCGGGATTCAGCCGAACGTTAAAGGACTTTGACAAATGGAAACGATTCAATACTTATCCTCAGATAAATCATCTCAAGCAATTTCACAATATTCTGATTTGATAACTACGCAAAACATTTAAAATTAAAACAACCAATTTGCATAATTTGAGAATTACAACCGGAATGACGTGTGGCGCTTTGCAAACAGTTGTAATTTTTAACCTTGAAGATTTGGCTTCTTTCAATCCCTTGAAATCAGGTTAACTCGCTATCCGGGCCAGCTCGCCTCCATATAATCAGGCCCTAAAAACATGCGATCGTGTTTTGGTGAAATGAATTGTTTACAGTGAAAAGAAAGTTGTGTAGCGACCGAAATTTACTGAATTAAGTCTTCCGTCTATGTTAGCTTCATTTGACTTCGTGCGTTCTTATGAATCATAATAATACAAAAATACAATCTTCAGACATAATTTACTCTGCTATCAATAAACTACCTGTGCATGGTCACTAAAGCAAATAAAAATTTACATCTTTATATTTATAAAAAAAAACTATTTGAACTTGTTACCAATGAACAAACTTGCGGGCTGGCCACGCTACTGCAGTCAGGATTGGCTGTAGTGACACTGTACCGCACGGTGATATGATCTTGTAGGCTTTTAAAATTCGGACAATGCTCGCAACTGGGTTGCAGGAGTCTGTTATGGAAAAATCAAACATGTACCGGTAGTTATACCGAAAATTTTTCGATGTAACCTGAAAATTGAGTACGTAAAGGCTCTTTTCCATTCGTCGCAAAACGTACTCGCAAGCTCGCTGCGAGTGCCTGCGAGTTACTCGCAGCGAGCTTACCATGACTTGCAGCATAGTTAAATTAATTGAACAAATTTTTTTGATCGCGCGAACAGACTCGCAAGCTCGCAGCGAGAGCATTTTGCGATGAGTGGAAAAGAGCCTTAAGTGTGAAGGATCTTGTAATCTTAAAAATAGGTGCACAATGCATACATGTGGGGGTGCGCTGCTTTCCACAGTTCATATGCTATATGTTTCATGTACATAAAGCATGTTGTTTATAAAATGCTTTATAAAATCGTTTCTAAAATACTTAATACAAAATACTTTTAGGAATGTTACAAGGTAATTTCACTTCGTATTAAAAAAAACTTAAAGTGAAAAAAGGCGGCAGGCGGATCAAGGTAGACAAATGAAGATTGTCTCAAATGCGTTTTACCGACTTTCTTGAGTCTCTTCACAACGAAAATAGTGTGTGCAATCCAAAATTACAAGTATTTATTAAACTTTGCGACATCCAAATGCGTGGTAACCCAGCAGTATAGTTAAGTACATGCTGCTATGTAAATTCGTAATTACAAAGAAAGCTGTAATACCAAATGAGCTGACACATGCTTATGGCTCCACTCAGCACTCACTCAAATCACAAAATCCTAATGAAATACATAAGCAACAGCATTTTATGTACTCAGATATACACAATTAAGGCAGCACTACTTAAGCTCTTGCTAGTTAATGTGAAACCTTTCCATGCATTCAAATGCTGACAATATTTCAGCAGTGACAAAAATCATCTAAACTTGTAATTTTTATACTTAATTAGCGTGTTTGCATGTGTATAAGTATGTTTCTTTTCAGCAAATCAATTTTTGTTTTCTTGTACTAATGGTTTTCAGTGGTGTTAATTGAACAGTTTAATTAAACCCTTTTAATTTGATGTAGAATTTTAAGAGAATTTACTTTTTATTGACTGTGCTGTTATTTGCACCTTTAGGCTAAGTTCAATCTTTTGCACAATCTTCTATCAAAGTTCGGTTGCTTTTAGATGGTAACATATACTTTTTACAGCTGATTTCGAATTAAATTCTGAACATATCCATCACATACACAGACATTGTTATGCATGTACACGACATGTGTTTCACGAAAATTACAAGTTCATTCCCTTAAAAAAAACCTAACAAAAAACAAACATAAAACCTAGCAACAAAAAAAACCTAACACAAACCTAACACAAACATTTTATAACACCTCATTCAACTGTAAATAATTATTCATAACTAATCGATATTTCCGCTTTATCACTATAACATATTATCATGTAAACTTCCTATATTTATTCACTTCGCACTGAAGATGGCATAAAGTATGCCGAAACATGTTTGCTTTAAGAAAATTTGTCGTTTATTTTAAATGTCTTAAAAACCCTTGTTGTAATAAAAATGCTGGTAGGATTAGAATGTGTTCTGAAGGTCACTTTGACTGAGTTCCCAATTCCTATATGGCCTAATATGGTTCTTAAATGGTGTTTTCAGTTCACCCATTGACCCATTCCTAATAAATGTGACTTCAATTAGATTACTGATGACGACAAAACAGTTTAAATTATTTGGTGACTCAAGTTTCAGCATCAGATTACTCTTCTTAAAAAGTATATTAAACAAATACGACTTTTTTCCGCTTTGTAAATTCTCATTACAACGGTATATTAGTTTAAATTTCGAAAAGTTACCTATTTATAGTAATCTACATAGCAAGTGACATAATTATCGCGATAATTTTTACGAGTTACAAAAAAGCGATGGGCAGTGGTTGTATAATGCGAATCAGGCCTGTGAGTCAGGCCTGATTGCCAATACTAGTGGAAAAGCCAAGCTTCTCTTTAGCTCATTCATTGAAAACCGAAATCAACGAGTTTGTTTTGATTTCAATTGCAATTTCTAACTAGGGAACCGTGTGTAAAATTGCAACTATGAGCGCTAAAGGTATGGAAGTATATGTTGATTTCTTCTTGTACTCGTTTGTACTAAATTATACACGTGTAACAAATCGAACTGCTTAAGAAATGTGTTTGTTTTGCTTGATTCGGTGGTTAAGGATGGATTCTGTAGTGATCTAGCTTTGATAAATTAATGAGCTTTCCTTTCAATGTAAAAGTCAATTACCTAAGTGTTGTTTGGTAGTCGGTGATGAGTTGGCTGTTTATGTGAGCTGAACCAAATTCTTTGTCTTGTACCCATGCGATTGCCTTTTCATAATATATCATTGCGTAAGCTCAACTTAGCACTGTAGTTAAATATTTATGCAATTATTGTAATGAATAAGTCATGACAAGGTACAGAATAAGTCATGACAAAGGCTTACACTTTACATGAGAGAATTATGAAATCTCAATTTCGAAATGATGGTGAACTGCTATACATTCCAAGCAAATTCCTGTGTGTATGATGCTGTTTCTTTATGCAGAAAATTTATGTGCAAATTTTTCATGTTTTTAAGTTCTGAATATGCTTTAACAATGGTTTTAAAATGCAAGCTTGTCATTTTTTGCTAAGTGCCTTAATGTATGTTGTTTAATGCCTAGAAATCCTTTGTGTTTTGTTTTATACCAATTGATTGACTTAAACAGTGCTTGTGTTTGATAGCACAGCCCACTGTTTTAGCAGTGCCAATTATTTTCATCCTTCATCTACTTGATTGATTTTTATGCATGTTTCACACAAGCTGTAGGTGTAGCTCTTAGATTTTACTTATATAACCAAGACAATTTACAACTGTTGGATCATTTATAGATCTAGGCTAAGAGCTTTTTACTATTGATTCCTTGATCTTAACAGTTTCCACACATATTTTTGCTTGTACAACAACAACAACAAACAACATTTGTATAACATTTGTATACATTTGTTTTGAACTATGTTTTCAAGATTAACTTTGTGAATATTTTTAACTTTATGTTACAACGAAAAATCTTTGAAGATGGCATTTGTCTTCAGCTGGATTGATGAAACTTCAGTCCTTACACTGTAGCGTGGTAGGACATCAAGTGAATTTCAACATTTTGCATGAATACATTTGTCTGAATTACATCCATGTGGACTTAATGAGTAAATTAATGAGACTATTTGTTTGATGATAAAGGCAATTGATGATTATTATTATCACAAGTTTGAATTTGATGACTCAGCTGATGTAGTGAACGACACGTAGCACGCGACATAAATATCGCGACAATTTTGACGACGTACGACAGTGACAATATGATGTAATTGCAACTAGTCTGCTTTTAAATGCGACGGGGAAGTCGAGGATTTCCAAGAATTTTCTTATCTGGGAATCGAAGCTGACGAGTTTTTTTTTTACCAATGTTTTTAACTATTACTTGCGATATATAATGAGTAGTACGCATCCGAAATTGCAAGCATGAGCGTGCAAGGTATGTTAGTATATTTTGATATTTTCTCTTCGTTTGGACTAAATTGTACAGTATAAGCTTCAAAAGAACTAAGAAATTTCATTGTTTCGTTTTGCTTGTGAATTAAGGATGTGTGTGGGCTAGTGATTAGCTTTGGTATGTGGGTTGTCCTTCGAAATGTGAAGTAGATAACGTCGTTTATTCTCGAAATATCTATGTGAATAGCACATTTAGCGATGTGTACATGTTTTGGACATGTGTGTGAATTTTCGCTTGTAAAGCTCCAAGAAGGAGTCCGTCTAAAGATAGTGTAATAAGCCCTTGGGCATGTCTGTAGTTTCGACAGTATGAAAAATTTTGGGGAAATGCAACCCTACAATTGTGCTTTTAACTTTTCGTGCATTGGCTACCCAAAAACTAGTATATATATCCTTTTAGATGCTAAAAGTATATGCCTGTGTTGTTATGCAAATTTCTGTCTTTGTATGCTCAAAATATTTTAACATTTTGTCATTTTTCTGAAGAGTTTTAATGTGATATATTAGTTTAACTAGTTGTATTATTAAAAAAGTGCTTTAAACTGTTTGATTTTATGTATAATTTGCAGTCTTTTAATTGAATAATTGTAGGCACAAGCTAAGAAATTATTTTTACTGAGTTTTTGTTCTTCAAATACTTCACAGAAGTTGTGTTTGTTTGTAATTATTTAATTGTGTGCCTTGTTTTGTATGTATGACAGAATATGATGACAGATGTTTTCTGCTCCTCCAAAAACTCTAAATGATTAAATAATGCATTGTTGCACTAGATCATGCATGCAGGTTGGTGTTTGTAAGCTGTTATATATGTTATTGTGATGACTTAACCGTTTTAGCTAAGCCATGCAGATAGTTAAAACAATGATCACACGGTCATATAACCTGTTGTATCTCAATTTTTTTTTGTCGCTGGCCGCAAACTCGAGGCAGTGTAGCAAGTTATTTCATGCAAAGTTTCTTCATGTTTTCGACATCATGCCAATTTCATTGAGCTGATTATCTTTATAAAATTTTACTCATGCAGCATTTTCCACCAAAGGTCATTCAAGTTGAATTTAATTTTCACTAAAGTTTGTTTAAGGCTGAGCTTTAAAAAGGATTAAGTGTTGAGTTGAGTTGTAAATATGGGCCTTTGCTCGCCTTGACAGAGCTCCATTATGCACTGGTGTTCCTTCTGACTGCATTTTTTTGCAATATGTTTAGATCGATAGTTCATTTGGGCTGAGTTTTATGTGATTGATTTTGTAATATATTCTTTCTGTGTTTGAAAACAACCCAAAGCTCTTTCTGGCCTTGTTTACGACACGCACCTGTGGATTTTGCACACATATTGTTGATTAACACAACCAAATTTGTAACTTTCATACTGTAAATTTCACAGAAATAATCTAAGCCTAGATGATGGCACAGTAAAAACGTTAACGGCCCACAAAAGTTAACTAATGAGAACTGGCCATAGTCTTTAAGTTTAACTATGGCGAACTGGCCTTAATCTTTGAGATTAACTATAAAGAATTAGCCATGATTTTTGAGTTTAACTATAAAGAATTAGCCATGATCTTTGAGTTTAACTATAAAGAATTAGCCATGATTTTTGAGTTTGACTATAAAGAATTGGCCATAATCTTTGAGTTTAACTGTAAAGAATTGGCCATAATCTTTTTGTAGATTAAATAAAGTGGGTGATGAGACGTCGCTGTTTGTCCATAATTATAAACACTCCAAGACTATTGAAGTCCGCCAAACGCTCTTTCGCCTGCAATCCACCTTGCCCCTTGCATCATAAGTCATTGTGCCATTCGTCTTCGGGTTCATTATTAAGGCGGCACTGTATTAAGAACTATAGCAGTCAAGTACACGTCATGTTAGGTTAGTGTCGTTTATATTCATAGTGCGTTGGTTTTAATGTTTAAATATTCTGTAAGTTTTCCTTCATGCATGTAGTAGGTTAGTTTGTTGTGTGTCGTGTACGTAAGAGGTAGATCCAGGATGGTCTTGTAGGCAGGGGGAGGGGTGCGCTCCAGTTTCAAATCTATTTCGGTGGCTACTTGAGGATGACGCGTGTCATGTCAGACGTCTTTTGTGGATTTCTAGTGCTTGAAATTCACAAAAGCTTATACTCTATTCGAGTACATCGTATACTCTATTCAAGTACATCGTATACTCCATTCAAGTACATCGTATACTCCATTCAAGTACATCGTATACTCCATTTAAGTACATCGTTTACTCCATTCAAGTACATCGCATACTCCATTCAAGTACATCGTATACTCCATTCAAGTACATCGTATACTCCATTCAAGTACATCGTATACTCCATTCAAGTACATCGTATACTCCATTCAAGTACATCGTATACTCCATTCAAGTACATCGTATACTCCATTCAAGTACATCGTATACTCCATTCAAGTACATCGTATACTCCATCCAAGCGTGTGCGCCATTCAACACAAATCCTGGGTTCGGTTGGAATACATTACTACAAATGTATTTTCCTTTCATAACAATTGTTTTAAGAAGAGCAAATACCATGGCGGATGGTCAAAAGAATAACGTAATATTTCTTATAAGAACTGTTTAAAACCAGAACACTAACCCAGCAATTCCAAGAGAATTCTAAAAGAACTTTTTTTAAAGCTGAAATAAACTATGCATGAAAACAGTTACAGAAGAACTTTTACGTTATTCTTTGACCATTCACGATTGTATTTTAAACAATTTTTAAATTTGTCACCACGACAAAGTTTCTACTTTACTATTCAATTCATAATACTTGACAGAAAATCGTATGGGTATTAAATCAATTCTTATATATTCTTCAGAAACTTCTTACCAACAACGTTCTTGAAGTTTTTTGGCTTAAGAATGAGCTGCTATGATCTATTCTGACCTATCATAGATCTGTCATTGCAGAAATCACTATTGCTTTGGTTTCATTGCATGGCATGCGTGTATACAAGGTGTCCCTAAATTAACGGAACCCGCACAAATATTATGTATGAATTAAATGAGATCTGCATTAGATAATTTAGTCTGCATGCATTAGCTACTCGTTCCACCTTGTCAATTTAGTTCCACGCTTGTCCATGCTCGTAGCAACTTATGGAAAATGTGACTACGTTTTTGTAGCCGTTGTAGCGCAGTTGATGTCGCTTTGATGTTATAATTTTCCTAATAAATTTAAAATGAAAATCAGTGTAGCTTGTTTTGCTTTAAACACTGTACAAACCCTATAAATTCCCAGAAGTGCACAACTGTAAAGCTCATTAAAGTGTTTTGAATGCTAGTGACGTTATTTTGCATAATCATTCAGCAAATACATAATTAATTTGTACACGTGGGTTCCGTTTTTTCGGGACACCTTGTATGTATTTCAAAGAACAATTGGCACCCCTCCAGCTCCATTAAGTATGGTAGACCGGTTACTTGTTACTCTTCACGCAAGGGAAGGCTTTTCCCCGCTAATCATGGAGAGTAAAGGTAGTCGCAAGGGGAGGGTGGGGATTTTCCTTCCTGACGGACGTGTTGCAAAGTCAAATTTATCCAGGCTTTGTGTAAATAGAGCTTCATAGTGATATGTTCTGATTTTATTAATGATATCGTCTTTGTTGATTTGTTTTATCAGATACGTTGTTTACGTCCGAGAAGTTTGGGAGCGATGAAAGTGGAGATGGATCCGAAGGGAAACCCTTCAAGACAGCTCTACAGGTATGGCGACAAATATATATGCACGTAGCGTCGGTGGAGCGTCGTATTCATAATAAATTATGATGTCAATGACAGCGCGAATTATGTTGTTGCTATAACAACGTGAGTTATGTTGTTGCTATAACAACGTGAGTTATGTTGTTGTTACAACGTAATTTTCATTTTAAAGTATTTGTATGACGTAGCGAGAAACTTAAGCTACATTTGAACCTTTTAAAGGCCCTTTCACTTGATCCTATTTTTCGGATCCGACTGTTTCGGTTCCGACTTTTGGTTGCTTGTTCACATGGTCTGATAGTTTTGTTGACATATATATTCGTTTAGATATTTATAGTCTTGAAAACAGCCATTTTTGTTATCCAGTACATTTATCGATATATATTCGCGTATTTCTATACTTGTTTTCAAGTCTTTTTCAAATGTAATTTCTTGCGTTAGCTCAAATTTGGGAAGTATAGAGAGTAAAAAGCTTCAGTCTAGTCGGCTTCCTTTGATGTTGTCGGAGGAAAATAGAGCAAGTTCTATTTCCATCCGATTTTTGAGATTGACGGATCCGACAAAATTGGATCGTTTAAACGGGCCTTAAAGAAGGCTGAATCTCTACCTCAGCTTCTGTCATCTGTAGTTATTTATTTAATCGGTGGGAAACAGTTTAAAAGTGCGAATTAATAAAAAGACAGATAGTCGCTCGTAATGTTCTCGTATGTTTTGTTTTCTTTTTAATAACTTTTTCACTTTGAAATGAATCGTCAGTTAAATTAGTTAAAGAAATTTTTCATTTCTCCGTCATTGTCGAGGCATGTATACATTATATAGACGTTCCATTGGAAATGGAAAACTTTGTTGCGTTTTGCTACAAGACTGTTTAGCTAACCAAACTACTTTTTATGTTTTTATTGTATATTTTTATTTTTTGTTGATGTTTATTTATGTCATAAGAGCCCGCCGTAGAAATGAAGCAAGCTATACAAGCCTAGTCTTTTAAACAAACACGTTTTTGGAAACTCTTTTATGTAATCATCGTCTTCAAAACAAAAGTTATCGTGTCATAAATATTTACCGATGAATACGGAGTATTTACAAATCTCGGATGAATCTAGCCCTTAAAACGACTTTTCTAAATCAACAAATGTTTTTGTTTATTGCTCAGGCGTTGAAATCATGCAAGAGCGAGCCATTTCCCAAAATCATGGTCGATAGCAAGGAAGAGGGACAGGTATGTTGTTGTAAAAAGATGAGACGGAATATCAATGTCTTTCTGTAATTTGGTCAGCTACGTTTGCCCTCTAGCAATTACTTTGCCAATAAAACTTCTCTATGGAATAATATTTTAATTGAAAGTGCTTGTTTGGGTGTTAATGTTAATGGTTTTGCTTTTAGGCGCTGTTTACATGATCCCGGCTAACCGGGATTTGTTGAGGCGTGAAATGTTTCGACGCATTGAAAGGAGGCCAAACTTCAAGCGGAAAAATTACAATCTTTCATTAAGTGCCATAAGTCATTTTGTTGTAATTCTGAAATCAGGCCGAATTTGTTGTTTTTTTATTATAAATGTATTACGTCTTGCTCAACAAAATTGGTCTGGTGATAAGAATTGAAACATTTCCATTTGCCTAAAGCATTTAACGCTTTGCTGAATCCCGGCTACCCGGGCTCGTGTAATCAGCCCCTAAGGCCAGTTTTAAATGATGTTTTTAAACTGTTGCAATGTATTTGCTAATTTGCAAGTGTGACTTTCTTACTTCACTTGGGCTCTGTGTAGGAAATTTTGAACGTTTTTAATGTTTGACCGCCAGTGTAAAAATGCTGGTAACTGATTGTTTTGGCTTCACGTGCACATTTCTTTTCATTCTCAAAACATCGAGGTTTCTATAATGTGAACTTTGATCATAAGATATGTGGGTAGCTATGTTATTTCACGTGTCGGAGTTATCTTTACAGTCAATTGGTTATAATGTCAAATTTTGCCATGCACCTGAATTATGATTGAAGTGTGAAGGTGACTCATTATCGTGCATGTCGTGGCTAAGTCGCTATTAAAAAAAATTAATGCTTTCAAAGTGAAAGTTAATGTGCAGAAGTCGAGTACTGTTCACTAATAGTATCAGTTTGATGTTTGTGTTCGCTGGCTTTTTGTTAGAAATTCGAAGAAATCTCGAAGGCTCAGTTGAAGAAATTAACGAAGTTAGCTCAACAGGACAAAAGGAAGGCGGAAAAGAGTGACGAGAAGGAGGTAGGTTTGGTTTTTTGGAACCAACGATGCATCCAGTTTGGAATTTTTGTTTTTATATGTGCTAATAATGGAGTAGAAGACCGAATCTCTACTTCAGTTTCTGCGTTCTTTCTCTAGAATTAAATATTAATTATATAATTATATTAAGTATTAATTAAATATAATTAAATACTGGAGAACAATGCACCTCTCAAAACACCTTAAACAAACGATGATGTGAACTCTTCAGCTGCTAAGTTTTAATATTGAAAAGAATAAAAAACTTTTTTTTACGCTTTACATTTCTTGAGTGCACCTTTTGCCTACCGTGCGTATGTTGTTTCCCATCAGTTGCTCCTTTTTTTCAGGCTGAAAAGGCTGAACAACGTGCTAAAAATCTCGAAGAAGCAAAGCAGATCGTCATTGAAGAGGATGCGTCTTTGGACAAAGCAAAAAAGGTGAAGTGACTTACAGTGAAGTTTCAGGATCAGATTATTATTTATTGAAACATTAGACTGTATAGTACAGTAATTTTCGGCGCCAAATCATCTTGATGAAGAATCTTGTTGCGTTACAGTTCTCAAGTTCCTGGATTTTAACATTATGACACTTTTATTAAAGATACCAAACAGGACTGAAGAGGCCTTCGAGCTTCAACATTTGATCTCTCCTGACGCCGCCATTCGATTGTATAGTTAAGAACTTAAGTTCGATCATCGGATCAGTCTGTATTAAGACACTACATTAGAGTATATATGAACTGTAGGTCCAGCATCGGATCAGTCTGGATTAGATCAAAGCGTATAAGAACTCGAGTTTTAATCTCGGGCTTCTAATATGTAAGAAATAAAAGGTCATATGAACAACTACATAGAGAAACGTAGCTTTAAGATCATAAAATAGGTCATCTGAACAATTACACAAAGAAACGCGTCTTTAGATCATATCGTCTATCTTTTAGATCAAGATACGCGAATCTGTGGGTCATCGTGAGCAACGTGTCATGATTCAAGCATGGGTACATCGCATAAGACGGCAAGGCATGTAAACAGTCTTAATAATGTAAATATATTTACGTAAATGATGCCTTTATAATACGTATTTTGATAACTTTCCTATCATCACAGGTAAAACTTTGATGTTTCTTGTTTTGCGAGACGGAACTGGTTTCATTCAGTGCGTTTTGTCTGATAAACTGGTAAGGTTTGGGATAAAGAGTCTGGCGAAAATGCAATTTTCTACTGACAGATACGCAATCTATGTAAAAGATTAACTCAATTTCTTTGTTAAGTCATGTTTTGACTTTTTAATTATTAGGTATCATTTTTACTTATTAAAAAGTATGAATTGCATATTATTGCAATTATCTGTACTTAAAGTGTTTATGCAGCGAAATTTTCATATACTTTTTTATAGCCTTAATGAAATATTCGGTTGTTTGCAAGCAATTGAATATATTCATGTCCATTTTACGTTGAGTGAAAGTTGACAAATTTCAACTCCAAAAGTTGTCCTCTTGTGCGAATTTTGTTGATCGCCATGTTTGCTCATTTGACGTCATATGTAGTACAGAAGTCGCCAAACTAATATTAATTTCTATTGCCATGTTAAAAATTTGTACTACTTATGACGTCAATTTAGCAAACATGGCAGCCAAAAAAGTTCGCGCAAAAAGAATCAAAATCCGCCACTTTTGACGTCTATAAAATCACTCTAAAAAGAGAAAATTTAACTCTGTTTCCTTAAAAATGATGTTGAGAGCAAGTGCTTTTGAATAAGAGTTGCAAAAACAGTTCAACCTTCCTCCGAGTAGTATTTCATGTTTTGAAATCCTTCCTCAAAATGACGTCACGTTACTTAAATTAGATCAGTTGATATAATATAAATCACTGAGTTAAATTTTCTAAGCATAATATAAAGTATAAGCAAAAATATCGAAAATCACCGGGCAAAATCGAAAATTCACCGCGCAAAATTGCTGAAATTTTTCTTCTAGATTGCGCAATTTTGCAAACTTTCCAGTCTGGCAACGTTATTTGAACAATCGATGGATCGGCCAAATTGGAAATGGTTGATCGCTATATTTCTAGTGACTTTTATACAGCTATAAATCTACACGTTCTTAGCTCTACCACTTTATTAATGCCAAAATATTTTAGAGGGATGAGGTATGTCGATAATTCACATAAATTTAGCGTGCCATGGGCCCATGTGTTTTCTTCAGTAAAGCAATGTATGCCTATTTCTCAATAATTTTAAACAGACCAATTAGTTAGTGAGGAAGTTGAATTTTGACATAATTACTTGATAATTTCCCTGAGCTTTTATTCATCATATTTTGTGGTTTGTAAATGTTATACAAATTTGACACAGTTTGTTCCTCCCTTGCCTATTGGTCGTATTGTAATAATGTGTAATAATAATAGATTACTTCATGGTTGGTTCGTTTGTACGATTTATATATAAATTTATAAAATAAACACAATGAAACGCGTGCGCTGATTGGTCTAGAGCTGTGTTTGCATTAGCCTGTGCAAAACACATCCGAGCTCAACCAATCAAATCAATCATTACATTCAATCAATCAAAGAGAATTTGCAAATCGATCATGAATACATTTTAGAGGAAAAGTTAAAATGTTTGTCTGTTTCGCATTATTGTTATTTTATAAAAGAAATAAAAGATGTTTGCTGTGTTTGCACAGGCTTATGCAAACATCGGAGACGTTTGTGAGAACTCTCGAGGGCTCGAGGTGCAACCCTCGACCTTCTTCCAAAGGTCTCCTCGGTTTGCATAAGCCTTTGAAAACAGTGGCGGATCCAGTGTACGTCAAAATAAATTTTAGCTCTTCATTTTTAAATTCAAATTACATTCAAAAAACACTATTGGTTTTCAATTTCCAAAGCATATAATTTCACCAATGGATTAGCCTCCAAGGTGTTTAGAAATGTAAATATACGCCAAAATGTGCTGCAGTAATTTATTTTGACGTAGTCTGGATCCACCACTGTGTGCAAACACAGTAAACATCTTTTATTTCTTAAATATAGTATGATGTAATAGTATATACCATACATTTTATATTATACATGCATGTTATTAATTGGACTGTTCAACTTTGAACCTTCCTCACCAACCTCATTTATGGGAAACCTTCCTCACGGGTGGTACCCGTCTACCTGCAGCTTTTTTGCAACTCTGTTTTGAATAAGCAAATAGAATAATGTATGAAAATTTCACTGCATAAGCACTTCAATACCTATAGCTTGCTATTCCATGGATAATACTCTACCGGTACAGCTTTATAAACAGAGTTGAGAAACAAACCTTCAATCACGGCTATAAATGTCTCAAAGAAAAAGCATTGTGCAGAAGGCGCGCCAATTTCTCTGCAAATACTTAAATGCATACCAAAAAATTAAGGAAAAGCCATTGTGATTTGTGTTTAATGGAGCACAATTTCAAAAATTTTCCAATCATATTAGAGAGGCTGCTCAAAGACTTTAAATATAAATGTGGCCACCAAAACAATGTGGCTACATATGCAAATTTTACCAGATCTAGTCAAATGAGATTAAACACTCCCCCCTGTTCTGAATTCTGCTACTAGTTAAAGCAGGTGGGAGAGTCTAAGCTCATCAAACCCAATGTAGTCCAAGCTGAAGAACCCCACACCAAGAAAAGCCGTCGTGGATCCATCCCTGTTAATTACTCGAAGATAATTTGTTTACTTTCTTCGGTTAATATTACAACTTCAAATGTTTTGTTTTATGTTTTGAACAGTGTCAGACATACGACGCTTTGGTCCTGTCTACAGAATCAACAGTAGCTGTATATGGTGTCATCTCACCAGTTCCAGATGGCAAGTCGGTAATGATATTACTATTGAGTTTATCCGATTGAAGAATGCGCTGTTGCGTGCGGATTTTGTTAAAGAAAACGTCGGTTTACTGACTTATTTTTCTGTATTGAACCGATTCAAAATCCGCTTCACAATGCGTTGGTTGGTTATTACTTTGTGGTGTTTATAGTTTATTTGTTTCACCAGTCGTCATTTTTTATGGAAGCATGCATGGCCACTTTCGATGTTTTGTGTGTGAAAGATTTGCCAAACTTTGTCGGAAGTGCTATGTTTGACTGTCGTTTCGATGATGAAAATCCTTCGTCAGTAAAGTAGAAAATACACTGTATATTTAGCTGTTGTGATCTTCATTGGGACGATCGAATGCAAGTTATGTTTAGGTGCTTTTATCACCGATTGTAAGGGATCTTCGTACGGAGTAGTATACTGCATCACAATCACCATTTTTTAGCATTTATCTTGTCAACAAATCATGTTTTAAAGTTGGTTTACCTTTGCCAATGATTGGTTGAAAAAATTGTTCACTGTCCAATTGTTTGTGAGAGAAAATCACGACGATACGTGTTACGACCAAATGGTTGCATTCTGGAGAGTGGTGCAAACATTAATATAGTCATGACTTTACCAAAATGTATAAGTCAGATATTTTCATGAATCTTATAGCAAAAGTAAGCTATTCCTCCATTATTATTTTTCAGTTTGCATCATTTATTTAATTACCCTTTTTTTGTGATTAAATACCTGAAAATCTCTCTTAAGTCCGTGTTGAAAAGATCGAATTTACATATGGTATACTTTTCTGTAGGCCCCAGATGGTCACGAAATGAAGGTGGATTATTGGAAGCTGATTGGTCTTGCCCCGGCTGGTGGAGCTGACGCGATAATGAATGTCGTACGTTAATTCAATTGATGCCTGTTTGTTAACTAGTCTGAAGTGATAACATTTGACTAAACGGACGAAAAGTCGAGTCCTTTGTCGTGCCCAGCGTAGAAACAGTTAGCTATTATTGTTAATGTATTGTTATGTTCAGATGCATAGTGTTTCAATTGTCAAACATAAATTTTCGTTTCCTTTTAGGAGTCGGGAGTCGACGTCCAACTAGATAATAGGCATATATTAATGCGAGGTGAAACGGTAAGACAACGAGCTTTGATCAAATGATTTTTAGGTGTTGGGATTTGTTGATGGCTATAATTGTCGCTGCTCAGCCCTGTCAAGATGTTTGAGTGCAAGTTGTTGTCTTTCTCTGTTTAGATATCAAAAGTCATGAGAATGAGATCAGTCGTTTCACAATGGTTAGTCTTTAAGTTTGCGATTCCTGACGAAATGTTTGTTAATCAAGCGCAATCAGGGGAGGGAATTGTGCCCTCGAATATGCAGAACGTGTGAAAATGTGTTTTCGTGCTTCTGCCATGCTAAAGTTGCTCCTAGAAGGAGATGACAACCTGAAATGATCGGCCATAATGTGTGTGAATTATGTTAACCATATACTGTTAACTATAATGCTTTGAGCTCGCTTGGATCTGCACTCGTTTTTTCGACTCTTTGGTTTATGAATAACTGTATTAGAAATATATCGTTTATGTTTTCAAACGACAAACGTAATCGAGAATCGTGCCAAATATCAACATTGACACCAAGAACATTTTTAAGTGATAATTAAGATGTTTGTTTGATTGTTTTGTGTTTTTTCTTCTTTCTGTTTAGTTTCCGTCAGCATTACATTGATCGTGGGTATTTCGAGGTACCATACTGTCTACCCGTCATCTCTTTTTGTATTAAGAAAATATCTTACATGTGGTTTTTTGTGACTAGGTCACTCCACCCACCATGGTTCAAACGCAAGTAGAAGGCGGTTCGACACTTTTTGAATTCAATTATTTTGGAGAAAGTGTACGTGTGTACGAACATAATTCCGGCTTTTGAGTTATCACAATGAGTGTACTGATGTTGAAACCTGTCTCTTCATATACTGCAATCTAATGTCTTCACCGAGAGTGTACTGATGTTGAAACCTGTCTCTTCATATACTCCAATCTAATTTCTTCACCAAGAGTGTACTGATGTTGAAACCTGTCTCTTCATATACTCCAATCTAATGTCTTCACCGAGAGTGTACTTATGTCGAAACCTGTCTCTTCATATACTCCAGTCGAATGTCTTCACCAAGAGTGTACTGATATTCGCACTTGGATCCTAATATGCTGCAGTCCAGTGTCAGGATAGAGCTATTATTGAAGCTTGTTGTAGCTACCGTCTCATTGATTTTTAGGCTTATTTGACGCAATCATCTCAGTTGTATCTGGAAACAGCATTGCCAGCATTGGGTGACGTCTTTTGTCTTGCTCAGTCCTACAGGGCCGAGCAATCGAAGACAAGAAGGCATTTGTCTGAGTATGTCACAAATCGTAAATACCCAACCTCCCGCTTGCTTGCGCAAGTTTTTGTAACGTCTAATGAATGTTGTCATTGCTGGTTGATGTAGGTACACCCATGTTGAAGCTGAATGTCCTTTCATAAGTTTTGAAGAACTTCTTGATAGAATTGAAGACCTTGTATGTAATTTTCTTTTCGTCGTGCATTTTGTAGTGTAAAGATGTTGAAGTGACGATTTTCAATCATTCTTCAGGTTTGCGACGTCGTCGACCGAGTTCTCAAGTCTCCCTACAAGAATATTTTGTACGAACTTCACCCCGTAAGTTGAGCACAATGGATTTGCATCATGTATTACTTAAGTTGAAATAACTGTTGTCAAATGGCGATCATGTGATCGGTATTTGCTGTTGTCTATTTTACGTACATTAATGTAGCTATGACGATTCTCTTATGAAAACTGATTATTGAGAGAGGAGAGGGGGCTCATTCACATATGCTAATACGTTTGTTTTCTAAGGATTATAACACCCATTTATGAATATAAGCCCCCTCCCCCCTCTTCCCATAATTATCAATCTTCCTACTCCCACGAATGTGTTAGAAGTACTATCGTGGAAAAAATATTTGATTACCTCTCAAAGTTGACAATTTTTCATTTCGTTTTTCCAACTTTAAATTAAATTGGAAAGTAACACATTGAGTTTTTTCCATAAGTACCTACGGAGTCATTACATCGCAAGTTGTTTTATAGTGAAGAGGTGATTTATTTCACGACTTACAGACTTTTTATAATGTGCCTTCTTTTAGGAGTTCAAGGCGCCAAAAAAGCCATTCAAGTAAGTGAAAAGTTTCAATTTGCAATTTAATCAGTATTCTAACTGGTACTGCAATGTTTGAGTGTAAACTTTTACAATATTTTATCTATGTACCTGTAATTGAGTAGGTTTGAGTTTTCAATTTACCAACATTTAATATGTCAATAATACTTGAAAGCCTTCTTGAGAAAATGAATTAAAATATGTAACTCATTTTCTGCCATCTTTTTTAGGAGAATGAACTACACAGACGCTATAGCTTATTTGAAGGAGCATGATATTCGCAAGGACGATGGAACCTTTTATGAATTTGGCGAAGTAAGCTCTCCCACATTATGTTTGAATTTCACTTTCCAAACCCCCCAAGACATCATCAAGAAGAAATCGCACTATGAGATATTTTCATTATTAAATACTAACGGCTTTTAAAAACAGTTTTATCGCATCAAACTTGGCTCTTGCAAGTTCAGAAAAATAATCTATACATGATGAGACACTACAAGTGATATTGCTCAGGCACTTGAAACTAGTTTCCGGGAAGTCCGTTTTCGGTTCTCTCATGTTAAGCTGTTCATTCAAATGTCAGTATTCGATCCGCACCATGCTTTGAGTGTGCAATTTGAAATTGTGAAGCACATTAAATTTATATCTTACTTGCTTTGGAACGTCTGCAATGAACCTCAGTCGTTTTTCGTGGTTGTTCCATGAATGTTTTGTGTATAGGATATTCCTGAAGCACCTGAAAGGAAGATGACGGATCAAATAAACGAGGTACATTCGTATAAGTTTTGAAATTGTCTTTGAAAATTCGTCCTCCTTCACTACGTGCACAATGTAGACAATAATCAATTAGCTAGCATTTAAGAAATAAAAGATGTTTACTGTGTTTGCACAGGCTTATGCAAACCGAGGAGACCTTTGGGAGAACTCAAGAGCAGATCAGTGCAAGCTCGAGACTGAAGGTTGAGGGTTGCACCTGCTCGAGAGCTCTCACTAACGTCTCCGAGGTTTGCATAAGCCTGCGCAAACACGAAAAACATCTTTTATTTCTTTTATAAAATAACATTGCGAAACAGACAAATTTAAAGTAAACGTTTAAATTTTTCCTCTAAATTGTTTTCATGATCGATTTGCAAATTGTCTTTGACTGATTGATTTTTATGATTGATTTGATTGGTTGAGCTAAGATTTGTTTTGGACAGGCTAATGCAAACACAGCTTTAAACCAATCAACGCACGCGTTGTATAGTGTATGAAACGATGAATTTAGAACTTTTGATCTTTTCAGCCGATCTTTTTGTGCCGTTTTCCAACGGCAATTAAGTCATTCTACATGCAGCGATGCCCTGAAGATAACAGGCTGACTGAATCGGTATGACTTGTTTGCATCCTTTTTGTTAGCAATTATCTTTGAGTATTTTATACAATCAATAAAGAACAGTGAGTGAATTTTTAAGCTGTATTTTGAACATGGAATGTTTTAACGCTGAACATTTAAATAGTAGGCGCTGTGCTTTTCTTATCGAACCTTCATCAAATTTTCTTTTCTACTTTCATCTTTTAGGTTGATTTGTTGATGCCCAATGTTGGTGAGATTGTTGGTGGTTCAATGAGAATTTGGCATTATGTGAGTAAAATTGCCCTGTTCCGTCTTGTGCCCATGAAATCTTTGACGTTTGTTGAAGATCTACATCGTCTACGTCGTTTTAACAACGCTTCCGTGTAAACAGTTGGACGAAGCCCGGATAGCGTTATCAACTGGATAGAAACTTCAATCTTTCAAAAATCTTTGAAAATATAATCAATAAAAAAAACATTAGCTCTGAGAAAACGAATACTTGTTTTCATAAAGGAAACATGACAACCTTTTTAAATTCACAATCCAATGGATAACCCTATCCAGGCCTTGAACATCGCTCCCCAATGTTTGATAGCTGTACAAAGAACGAAATGTTGAGTGACTGTCTTGTTATATCCCTTTTCTTTTCTTTCAGGATGAGTTATTGGAAGGGTACAAACGTGAGGAAATTGATCCCACACCATACTACTGGTACACCGACCAGGTAGGGATTTAAAGTTTTTACTATTTACTTCGAAATTCACATTGCTGCATTACATTCCGCGCATGAACAATGAACGCTCTTGTTAAGATCTCTTCGGAAAATGTGGAGATAGCTAACGTCGATTTTTTTACGTTTACTTCACTAATTTTGAGAGAATATCTTGCATGTGATAACTTTTTTGATGAATATATTTTATACATTCATCCACTACGGTCTTTATCGTTCCACCAAAGAATTTTGTCGGTACCGAAAGTAAGGTGTCTCGATTAATAAAGAAGCAAGTTTTGCTTAGATTATGTAGAGTGTTCGCATATGACGTCAAAGCGGCCATGTTGGGAGAGTACATCTTAGTGCCAATGTTCAACTGAGCATGAAATCAACATAAATTCTTTTCTCTATATATGGGATTTTCCTGCAACATGGCGACCGTTGAAAACACTCTATTGTTGCAAGGAAAGATACTGTGGTTATCTTGTGAATAATAATAAAGAGGCTACATTGGGTATAACAGAATACAAATTTTTAACATTTGGCAAGACATTGTTACTTGCTTGTATATGAAAAAAAGGATGACTTGCATTCTTTGTGAGAATAATTCTGTAGATTCACAGAAGAAAACCCTAAAAATTCAACATCGATGCTTCAATAAATTGGAAATGTAAACGATTGAATTGCAAGCTTGTTTCGCCAAGCTATAGCTTTGTTCCAAAATGAACGTCCGAGCATAGTCCATGTAGAATTTTTCGAAGGAGAGAGTAAGCCACGAAAGATAAATTTTATGACTCGTTACCTTCGTTCTTCTGGATCTCTCTACATTTCCTTCCATAACTTTTTGAGAGACTTAAGCTCCTTGTTCTCATAGACTTCTGTCTATTATGGATCAAATTCTGAAGAAAAAATCAGCATGCTTTTTGCACATGGAATGATACCATAATGTACTTAGGGCATCACATGCTTCAATGTCCTTGAAAGGATCACATGCTTCAATGAACATGATGATACATTGATGTATGTGGAAGGTTAAATCAACTGTTGGCAGTTGACTTAGTCAAAGAATTCTACGTGGCCAATGTGGTTGCAACTTAAAACGCGATTTTCAAGTTAGACTTTAACAAGTTGTCTTGACTTGTAGCTTTTTTTCGAAAATGAATATTTTCGAAGTTACATGTAAAGAAAATCAGCAACGAGGTGGTGCGGCATCTTTTCATTACTCTGCCAAACTGAGGTGTAATACGCTTGGGTCTCCCAATGGATGTCAAACGCGGCTTCAGATTTCCGTTGTGTTAGTTTTTTGATGGTTCTTCTTTCACTGAAGGATACTCCAACTATGACATGCCGTTTCATTTGTCTTCGTTTTCGCTGAGATACTCCATTGTATCTAATATATTTATGTGAGTTAATCTACTTGCTTCTTTATTCTTAGATGGACCTTTACTTTCCATTTCCTGAGCTTTACCAACCTGCCCCAGTCTATCAGGTTGTAACAGTAAGTGAAAGGAGACTTTGGCAATTGTGGTTCTACTGAAATCACTTTTATTGCCTGTAATCAACGGCCTTCTTCGCGTTTTATTGTCCCTTTCAGGGCTTCCTGTGCTAAATTAGTATTCACAAATTTGAACAGTCTTTTACAGAAGCATTGTACAAAAGCTACTTTATCAGATCTTTGTATCGTCTGAGCAAATACGTAACAAGTAATACTCTTTATGGAAGCGCGAAGACCTTCACTTCAGACAAGACGTGGTCTTTTTATTGAGTGTTAGAAATATTCTTTAAAAAAACCCACAAAATTCTAACCCAGCTATCACAGGAGAACATGCAGCAACAAAACTCTCCACATGGCTAAATTTTCGATTAGCACTTATGTTTATCAGCATGGAAAACTGGCACTGGTTCTCCATAGACATAGAGGAACTTGCTTTTAACTCTTTGACACGAAAATACCATTAACTCTTCTACGGTCATGTACACGTATGTTGATTATATGGAGCTACCAACCTCTCACATGTCTTATCGGGCAATTTCTTCATTACTCATCAACAATATGATCGATCTGTTTGAAAATAACAACACCATTGAAAGGAGGTCATGCTATGGATAGTTTTCTTAAAGAATGATTGCAGTATTAGGCTCTGCGTTGATGTTCGTGTTCATAATTCGGTCATCTAACGGCAAAGACATACAACAACCCCCACCGTTGATAATTTCATTACAAATTGACAATGTCACAGTATTTACAAAGCTTGAACTTTGTTCAGGATTTTAACATCAAAGTTACGCATTTTAAGAGGAGCGATCTCATTTTCGTTTATCCATTTACTGCACTCGTGGTTTACTACACAGAACCTTTGTTGAAAAAAGAATGATTGGGACTACTGCATTTTTTCGGACACCTTAGACGCAAACCCTAACGTCACCTGTTAGATAAAATAACAAAAAACTTCTGAAATTGCAAACATAATTGTACTTGTAAAATTTTCGTGTCATAGGTTCTTTAAAGTAAAGGAAATAATGCTATCACTTTAATATAGGTAAATAAAAACGTTCGTGTGAGAAAACACCTTACTTGACGTTTTCAATGTTTCTACTTAGAGTTTTCTATTGTATCTAATGCATGAAATATGCAGAAAACGTGTCTACCAAATTTGTGCTTATAGTTCCTAAGGACTCCCCCCTGCCTTTTTCTGATGCCCCTGAATGTTCATACTTATCAACTTAATTATCTGACTCGTTTTTATTGTGACGATTATCTTCATTATCACCATCATTAATGATATTTTGATATTCGTCAGCGTAAATTTGGCACTTGTCCTCATGGTGGTTATGGCTTGGGTTTGGAGAGATACCTCTGTTGGCTGCTGAACCGAATGCACATCAGAGACGTTTGTATGTATCCAAGATTCACTGGACGATGTCGACCGTGAGTTTGGTGCTCCATTCCGAGAGAAAATGATTGAATGTCATGCCCTTTAATTCGTATCTTTTCGAATCTCCTGTATTGAACTATGAAGAAATTAAAATTGGCATGAAAAATGACGTTTGTGTTGTTGTTTGTGTTTTCGTATTTTGTATCGTCGAATGCAAAGTGGTGTGATTTCCAGCATGATATTCACTCTTCTCACTTGTGCACTGCATCAAATGCCTTTGTTCGTTTTTCATTATTTTTATTTATTTTGTTTTTTTTATGGCAAATTCTCTATAACGGCAAAAACCGTTTGGTAAGCATTCTCGTGAATTCTAAATTCGCGTTTAATGTTACGACAAGTTATTTTAAAAATAAACATGTTTTAACACTTGTTGATACAACATATGTGAGTAATATGATACAGCGATTGTCTATACCAATATGATTGGATTATATAAATTACTAATATATATATAAACACTAAACACACATGTATAGCGCAAAACTAGCCACACAGACCAAATACTCGATTTCAACAGCAATCACCCAACACAACACAAAATAAGCGGCATGCAAACACTTTTTAACAGGATAAACACTCATTGTAACACCGAAGAAGCCAAGAAAACAGAACGCAACTACTTATACTCCACATTTATAAAAAACAAATATACCCTAAAAACTTTATAAACAAAACTATAAACAGAATACAATCAAAAAACAAACCGACAAAAGTAACAAAAAACCGGGCGAAACAGTAAAAATCGTCACATTACCATACATAAACGGAACATCAGAAATGACTGCCAGACTTCTTCGACCATTTAATATTAACGTCGCCCACAAACCTACACAAAAACTCAAATCATGTTTTACCAAACATAAAGACAAAACAACAATTCATGATACAACCGACGCGATATACATGATACCATGTAAAGACTGCTCAAAACAATATATAGGACAAACATCAAAGAAAATCGAAACAAGACACAGAACACAAAAACGCCATAAAACGACGAAATCCGAACTCACTACCGGCAGGACATACCCACGGAAATATCCACACGTTCGACTGGACAGAAACTAAAGTACTCGGACGCGCACAGACTAAACACGCACGCGAATTTAAAGAAGCTTGGTACAGTAAAGACAACGACACAATAAACAGACATATTGACATACCAATTGTATATTCACAACTATAGAAAAAGGACAAAAAAAACTATAAATAACACTAAAATACAACATTACACTCCAATAATATAAACACCTATGATATTCACAATACATCAAAACCCATGACAACGCATTCTACACCATCCAGTCGCATTATCCAATTAGACGCTCCAAACGTCTGCAAATTAAAAACAACTGTATATAACTTCCTATTTCATTCTGATGAAGACTCGAAGCACCGAGTCGAAAGCTCAATAAAATTATTTATCAAAATCCGGAGAAACTTTTATTTAACAAATAGCTAACATTTAACCGTTGTCTATACAGTTATAGGTACACGGGTATGACGTCATACGTGATAAAAACTTAAAAAAACATGCAACTGCTGACAAAAACAAAACTGCCTACAATCATCCGTCGTCTACCAAGCTACTGTGAAAAGCAAGGACAATAACACAACTGAGACGTACATTGGACTTACAGAAAACGAATTTAAGACTAGACATAGAAATCACACTGCCTCTCCGCCACAAGAAACGAAGAAACTCGACCGAACTCAGTAAGCCCATTTTATTCCAAAGCCATCATCAGAGAATATATAATCAAAAGTGGTTCATTTTGACTCTGAAGATGACTACCGCTAAGGTTGTCGAAACGTCAGTCAACAACAACAAAAACAGTCCTTCTCAGGACTATACCAACCTGGACGATCTACATTTACGAACATGTAACGATACTCCCGGGTTCAAACCATTTACTTTATTACGCTAACTTCCGTCATCTAACTTGTAACTATACACCTTAATTAATATACTAACTTCCGTCATCTTGCATTTATATTTTAAACATTTAAGTATTTATTCATTAAAGCCCTGAAGAGTGAGCAATCACGAAAAAGGATTGTCGGGATGAATCTGTAGTTTTCGTGATTTTTTCAACGTCACTACATATATTTACGCTCGGGCATCGAGCACTTTTTTATACGGAGAATCATCACATATAAACTTCCTATATATAGCGTGCATAGTATTTTCACTCATATTGAAGATGGCATCATGAGATATTGAAACATGCTTATTGTTTTTTTAAAAAAAACTGTCATTTTCATTAAATGCTTCAATAGTGCTTCTACGTCACGGTAATTCTAAATTCCTAGCACTTTAGCTTACAATTCAACGAAATTGTCTCACAATTGCTATTTTCACAAATATTTTTTTGTATGTTTCACTGTCTTCATCCATATTTAAAAATAAAAGCAAAAGTATTTTCTTTCGAAAGCATGGTAAATGATTTCGTGTTTACTTATTATCCGGAAAATGCGAAATCCTGTAAAATCGCCAGAGCACATACATTGCACGTTAGGTGTTATAAACATTTTGGCTGGCTGAAAATTTAGTTCTGCAATCACAGCTACTTCTGCAATAAACGTAGAGAATGCTATATGAATTGATATAAACTGATCGTGATTCTTTATGTTTATATATTTTTAATTATATAATATGTTAGATTACATTTAAATTCATTTCATTATAGTTTCAATTGAAACATCCAGGCTGAAAATTTAGTTCTGCAATCACAGCTACTTCTGCGATAAACGTAGAGAATGCTATATGAATTGATACAAACTGATCGTGATTCTTTATTTTTATATATTTTTAATTATATAGTATGTTAGATTACATTTAAATTCATTTCATTATAGTTTCAATTGAAACATCCAGGCTGAAAATTTAGTTCTGCAATACAAACTGATCGTGATTCTTTATGTTTATATATTTTTAATTATATAATATGTTAGATTACATTTAAATTCATTTCATTATAGTTCCAATTGACACATTATCCATGCAGAACTATTACATGCCATACTGTACAGTATTTTCAAAATGAACGATTGCCAACAATGTCTTTTGCTAACTAGCTATAGTTATCGCTCTTGCGTTGTTCGCTACTTTCGACAATTTTTCCAAAATGTTATCACTTTTTTGTCCAATATACCATAAATCAGGGGATTCGCGGAATTTATCATAGTTGTTTCCAGCAAAAAACCCACATTCAAAAACACCTCGAGCCGTTTTATATTGTTTCTGTCCGTCGCAATAATGAAGTGACGAAAAGCCACGTAAAAGTTTCCTAATGTATAGCAAACGACCGTACAAAGACTAATGAAAAACACTTTTCGATTTCGGGCGTGGCTTGAATGTGCACTGAACGAACAAGTCGATTGTATGGTTTTACTTTGTTTGACAAGTGCGAGAGCTATCTTATAGTACAGTGACGTCATTGCAAGCTTTGACAAAATGAAAAGGCAGGTAGCAAGAGAGGAAATGATTTTATCATGAAGAACGAAAAAGTTCGAGTAATTGTCGTAAGCCGTGAAATTTATGAGACATCGAGGAAGGAACATTATGAATATCATAATGATGGAAAGTGCATACGCTGAAGCGCAAGCTATCTTCAAATTACGTCGAGTGATTGCTGGTTTCAAGGGATGGACTGTTGTGGCATGATGGACTCAACATCATGCCACAGACAGATAGATAAAATTCGCAGATTGCTCTTCGGATGAAACAGGAAAATGAATCGGAAACTGAGTCCAACTTATTTTCCCGAATAAGACTTCCCATTAAAAGTAGCCACGTCATATCACAGAAGGCAAGATGCAAGACCACATAATAATAGTTGTTTTTCAATAAGTTTCGCTGGCTCAATTTTCTAGAGAATGACCAGCGCAATACCGATGTTGCCAAATGCAGCTACAAAGTAAAAAATACCCAGCAAAAGCGGTAACATTGCTTTCCGTTGAAGATTGTCGTCTGCGTGAACCGCATGAGTCTACTGGTGGGCGGCGATTTTAAATGTGTCGAGGAACGGCCTTGTTTGAGGAAAAGCTACTCAATTACCATTTAAATTTGTTTTAAATGGTTAAAAATTATGATTGCCACCTTTACTGCAAAGTTATTTACAATGCCGTTATGATACAAGGTAATGAACATTAGACAAAATGTTTCATTCGAAAGCCATAAACAGTTATTATATGCAATATGGCTAAGTTTTGTGGCGTACAGCGACGTCACCGATAGGGGTTTTTTCATTGGCCAATGAGTGTGAAGTGGACAAGCCAATGCAAACGATTTTGATCGCATAGAAGAGAGCAAATCTAAACAATTCTAGCAAATTGTATGAATTTCTTTCATTATTCAACGCACCTTGTCCATCAGTGTTGCTTTTTTTCACAATCTTAAAAACGCATTACGATTGTGTTGTTGATGACCATTTTGAATTGTCGTCATTTGTAAAGAGTGTTTCTTGATTTTTATTCCCGACTGTTGTGCGTCTTTCTGTGAGCGATATAATTGTTCCGAGTATTTTAAATATGAAGGCGCTTAATAACCCTGTAAATGTGTTGCAAACAGCAGTATCAATATATTAAGACACACTTCCGTTATCGCTATATGCATGTGTGCTCACTTGTAAAGAATATTTCTGTTTTAGTCAGATTTCCAGTAAAATTTGTCAGAAAATACGCACGTTTGGGCTTTTTTGTCCAACGAAGGAATGCTATTCTAAGTGTAAAGGGTCATGCATTCATGTTTTTGTTTAACTAAACATGAATGGAAGTTTAACATCTTATTACATAACTAAACAATATGAAAGATGGGAAACAGAAAAATTAAAAAACTTGAGAACATGAAAGTTGAACATAGAGGAAGCAATGGAAAATGGCGAACTACGACAGGGAAAAAAAAGGGCAATGTGAATAAAATGAGACACGAGTTAAGTTATAACAGGCGTTAAGATAGTGAAAAGGTATTAAAACAAAATCAAACTGGAAAAAGCAAAGAGAAACATTGTAGTGGAGTGAGAAATGGCCCTTATGAAAACAGAAGATTCTAACGTTTAATGGCAGAAGAAATGCTTGAAAAAGATAAAGATGAATACATAATGATAT